TAGCACTAGTCTGTGCTAGGAAAGAGGGTAGGACATTAAAACTGCAAATGTCAACAGAACCTGACACAAACATAAATTTTAGAAGGTAAGTCAATTTTTACATTCCTATATAGTGTGGTGTTGCTGCTGGACTAATTGTTGCTTATTTGTTCCGGTAACTTGATTTACAAATGGGATTTCTTTTTTGTCTACTTTTTGTAAGCTTTTGTCAATTTATCAGTATGCCATTTTCCCTGGAACTTACTATGTGCTTGTTTACTAATTGAATTAGCACTAGTCTGTGCTAGGAAAGAGGTAGTACATTAAAACTGCAAATGTCAACAGAACCTGACACAAACAAAAATTTTATATGGTAAGTCAATTTTTACATTCATTTGTATTGTGTTGTGACTGGATCAATTAGTACTATTCTGTGCTGGTAACTTAGATTTATAAATGCAGATTCTTTTTTGTGTACTTTTTGTTTGCATATCATACATGTATTTATAAGCATTTATTAGTATGCAATTTTCCCTGGAACTTACTATGTGCTGGTTAACTAATTAAATGAATTAGCACTAGTCTGTGCTAGGAAAGAAGGTAGTAGTAGTACATTCTTACTGCATTCATGTTACGTGTCCTAGTTTAAACTAATGTATCAGCAGCAAAGTCATAACTGACACATCTTAGGGTCGAAACAGCAACCAAACAACCAAAACAAACATAAATGTTATATGGTAAGTCAATTTCTACATTCCTTTTGTTAGACTGGGTTCCAGCTATGTATAATCACCTTGTTCTATACATATAGACAGGTGTAGGCAGACTCCATGTTAGTATTTTTTTAACTAAACACCGCGCAGTCAGTCATGCAGGTGATTCTGGAAGTTATTTATGTTGCCATTGTTTATTGTTGTTAGCTACTAGTGTATGCTGAGAGAAAACACTAGACTTCCTCGTTTTGTTGACGTCAATATTTCTAAACTAAGAACATCCTCGATTTCAAATAAAAAGATGCTGTTGGACCCTATCTGTCTTGATATATGAAATATGTTATATGAACATTTATCTACAGCCATTTTTAAAAGGGTGGTTCCCAACCCAGGATAAAGGGGGGGTTCCATTCAAATGCATTGATCGTCAAAAAAAAAAGGGGGAGGTCCAACCCCCAGAACCCCCCCCTGGATCCACCACTGATCTAGACAGGTGTTGTGACTCAGGTTCATAAAGTAATAATAAGTCTACATGCATAAGAGTACAAGTTTTTGTAATCATATCATTTCTCTAGATTTCTTATAATATCAACATGTGGGAACAGGTTGTTTCATTGTTTTACATGTTATGTTGTCAAGTGTTTTATCTAGTATATAGTATTTTGAATTTCAAGACTGAATCAAATAAATTCTCTCAGTACTGATTCTGTGCTGGTGTGATATTTAAATTAGCACTAGTCTGTGCTGGGAGAAAAATTTGATTTTTGCAACAGTTTTTAATTGTTTACTATTAACTTAGGTCAAAGTGTTCCTTATGATTTGATTTATACAAATTAAGGTTTACTGAAACTTTATTTGAAATTCATCTGAAGAAATCAGTCATTTTCCTTGTACATGTTATGTGCTGGTGTTATATATTTAATTAGCACTAGCTTGTGCTAGGAAAATAAACTGATATAAGCTACCATGAAATTGTTTTTGGTCTATTGGTATGTGATAATATTTTGCTTTTAAGGCCTTCTGGTATGTGGTCTTATTTCATGTTTTTTGTTTTTACAGTCCTCTGAAATTCTGGTATGTGGTCTTATTTCATTTTTGTTTTTACAGTCCTCTGGCATTCTGGTATGTGGTCTTATTTCATTTTTGTTTTTACAGTCCTCTGGCATTCTGGTATGTGGTCTTATTTCATTTTTGTTTTTACAGTCCTCTACCATTCTGGTATGTGGCCTTATTTCATTTTTTGTTTTTACAGTCCTCTAGCATTCTGGTATGTGGTCTTATTTCATTTTTGTTTTTACAGTCCTCTGGCATTCTGGTATGTGGGCTTATTTCATGTTTTTTTTTTTTTATAGTCCTCTGGCATTCTGGTATGTGGTCTTGTTTCATGTTTTTTTTTGTTTTTACAGTCCTCTGGTCTGGTCTTATTTCATGTTTTTATTGTTTTTACAGTCCTCTGGCATTCTGGTATGTGGTCTTATTTCATGTTTGTTTTTGTTTTTATAGTCCTCTGGCATTCTGGTATGTGGTCTTATTTCATTTTTGTTTTTACAGTCCTCTACCATTCTGGTATGTGGCCTTATTTCATTTTTTGTTTTTACAGTCCTCTGGCATTCTGGTATGTGGTCTTATTTCATTTTTGTTTTTACAGTCCTCTGGCATTCTGGTATGTGGGCTTATTTCATGTTTTTTTTTTTTATAGTCCTCTGGCATTCTGGTATGTGGTCTTGTTTCATGTTTTTTTTTGTTTTTACAGTCCTCTGGTCTGGTCTTATTTCATGTTTTTATTGTTTTTACAGTCCTCTGGCATTCTGGTATGTGGTCTTATTTCATGTTTGTTTTTGTTTTTACAGTCCTCTGGCATTCTGGTATGTGGTCTTATTTCATTTTTGTTTTTACAGTCCTCTGGCATTCTGGTATGTGGTCTTATTTCATTTTTGTTTTTACAGTCCTCTGGCATTCTGGTATGTATTTCATGTTTTTTTTTTTATAGTCCTCTGGCATTCTGGTATGTGGTCTTGTTTCATGTTTTTTTTTGTTTTTACAGTCCTCTGGTCTGGTCTTATTTCATGTTTTTATTGTTTTTACAGTCCTCTGGCATTCTGGTATGTGGTCTTATTTCATGTTTGTTTTTGTTTTTATAGTCCTCTGGCATTCTGGTATGTGGTCTTATTTCATTTTTGTTTTTACAGTCCTCTGGCATTCTGGTATGTGGTCTTATTTCATTTTTGTTTTTACAGTCCTCTGGCATTCTGGTATGTGGGCTTATTTCATGTTGTTTTTGTTTTTATAGTCTTCTGGTATGTGGTCGTATTTCATGTTTTTTGTTTTTACAGTCCTCTGGTCTGGTCTTATTTCATGTTTTTTTGTTTTTACAGTCCTCTGGTCGGTGGTCTTATTTCCTGTTTTGTCCACTAGTCGGTATTCATCATTTATTTGGTCTATTAATCTGTGATCTTTTTGTACTTGTTAACTGTGAGTTGCTTTTTTGTACACTAATCTTTTTTCCATTTGGTTCTGTCAACTAGTCTATGGTATGATTTAGATACACTGGTCTTTCATTTCTTTGGTTGTTGCATAAGAGATAACAATATTTTGGTTATAACTCCCTAGTCTATGTTCAATATTTCGTGTATGATGGTTACCATGACTATGGTCTATTTAGTTTTGGTGTTCTGAAATGTGACCAATCTTATTGATGATTGTGACTATGGAGAGTCGTACTAAAACTAACACCATCAGGAATGCAGTACAATAGAAAGTTGTAAGTTTCTTCTTCCAAGAAGCACTAGGAATCCAGACAGAAGCATGAATTTAGAGGAGAGAGATACCACCATCAAAAGACGGTTATTAAATTTCCTAGTACAAATAATGTGGTAATGTGTAATATCAATTAGCACTTGTTTGTACAAGGAGAGGGTATGACAAAATATCATCAGTACAAAGATGGACAGAGCACCTAATATCACTCCTATCATGCCTATGGTTTGTATAAAAATCTACTGCCAAAGCTTTTAAATAATTTCCAAAGAAAGAAAGAAGATAAGGGATATTTTGTTAATATAATTACATGTATCAATGACCCTCAGACATTTTGAGTTGAACATTAGGACTGATCTTTAAAAGAATTTAATAATTGTTAGATGACTGTGAGTCTTTGTGATTTTCTAACAGCTAACTTTTGTTTTTTTTTTGGGTGGATGGACTTGGTCTTGTATTTTTCAGAAAAAATAAGAATTTAAATAATTCAATGCATTCAGGTTACTTTTCATCCTACCAGAAAAAAATTTATGACATAAATTGTTTCAAATTGTTTTTTTAAAGATTTTTTCCTGCTCTAACATTGTTTTCTTGTCTAAACATTGCTATTACATGTATCTTACGTTGTTGGGCCAAAAAAAATATAATCCCTACCTACCTAAAATTGAGAATGGAAATGGGGAATATGTCAAAGAGACAACAACCCGACCAAAGAGCAGACAACAACCGAAGGCAACAAATGGGTCTTCAACACAGCGAGAAATTCCCGCACTCGGAGGTGGTCCTCAGCCAGCCCCTAAATAAAATTGTGTACTAGCTCAGTGAAAATGGACGTTCTCACTAAACTCCAAAAATATAAATGAACTTAAATTAAAAAAACATACAAGACTAACAAAGGCCAGAGGCTACTGACTTGGGACAGGCGCAAAAATGCTGAGGGGTTAAATATGTTTTGTGAGATCTCAACCCCTCCCCTATACCTCTAGCCAAAATAGAATAAAGAAACACATAGTAATACGCACAGTAAAACTCCATTTAAAATAAGTCCAAGTTCCCAACCCTTAGAAGGCATAGGTAGGCAATATCAAACAATGGATTTTTTAAGGGTGGCCTTAAAGAATATAAATGTAAGCCAGGAATGTCACATTGTATACCTGAGAGCTGAATAACAAATAATATACAGATACTGTATTACATGGCAAAAATTTTAAAAAATGACAGCATTATTGTATGCAGCTTTTCCTGAAATCACAATATCAGACCTCAGTTTTGCTCTATCTAATGAAGTTTTTGAGATATAAGCCAAAACCAGCATTTTATTCCTTACGGTCTATTCTTAGTCATGGTGTCCGTATTTACTGACAGACCTGAACAAATACATACATAAATTTATACTTGCTTCTATAAATGATCATTCACCTCAAGTTTGGTTGAAATTGGATCTGTAGTTTCAGAAGGGAGGAGATCTTTAAAAAGTTAACAAGGAAGACGACTACGACGACAACGGACGCCAAGTGGGACATGTAAACTAAAAATGATAGATACACTTACCTCTCAACATCTGAAAACTTGAGGCATAAGTCAAATTCAATCCTATGTACATTAGTGAGGTACCAGTCATATCACAGAGCGAGGCAGGTAAGAATATCAGAGGGTTGTAGCCCAGTCCACAATAATTTGCATCCCTTTGTCTGTTTGTCACACCCCTCCCTGAACAATACATGACGAGGAATACAACCATACACATCATCTCTCCAAGGAACATTCCTACTGCCTAGAAAATTGTAAAAAGAGAATAAAGGGGAGGTAATAACAAGCAAAAGACAAAAGGGAGGTAATAACAAGCAAAAATCAAAAGGGAGTTAATAACAAGCAAAAGACAAAAGGGAGGTAATAACAAGCAAAAGATAAAAGGGAGGTAATAACAAGCAAAAGATAAAAGGGAGGTAATAACAAGCAAAAGACAAAGACTAAGTGAGGGGGAAAGATACCAAAAGGAAAGTCAAACTTGTAGTTGAAAAACAAACTGAACATTGCAAAAAACAAAAAATAACAATATGACAAAATTTAAACAAAACACAACATAGAAAACCAAAGATGGAGCAACAAGAAACCTACCAAAAACCGGTGGTGATCTCAGTTGCTCCGTTAGGGTAAACAGATCCTGCTCCCCATGTGGCAGAAACTGCTAATTGTTAGGTTCCTGATTTGAGATCTGTGCAGATTTCCGAGGTTGGGGAGGGTTGGGATTCAGAGACATGCTTAATCAAATCACATAATTTGTGTATGTGTCCTTTTTGGAAGACTGTGAATTGATAGTTGACATTGGTTGCTGTCTGTCATATTTGTTTGTGGTCTATTGTTTTTAGCACAAATTAAATCAGGATGGTGGTTTTCTCTATAATTTTTTTTTACATTTTGTCATGTCAGGGCCTTTAAAAGCTTACTATAAAGTATGGGCTAATTGTTGACATCTGTACAGTGAGTTACATCTGCTTACATCATTTTGTCTATAGATGTCAGGTTGTTGTCTCAGTCTGGCAATCATACCACCACTCCTTATTCTCCTAAAGTAAACTGGAAAAGGACGGGTGATAACTTTGATGAAAGCATTTTAAAAAACAAACTTCAACTTTGTCAGTTCTTACACTTCACTTCAGGAGCTTTGTCCTAGTCCTAAAATTGTCCACATATCTCTATAAATGGTTTGTAATTTCATTGGAATTCCGCAAATTTTTGCAAATTTAAATATTGCCACAGAGTTCATTAAACATGTTAAAAGATTACTTGTTTTTACACAATTTCATCCATGCAAAATGCATAAATTGGTCTCTTGGCAGAAAAATATATTGAAATTACTGTTCCTTAATTACCAATAGATGCAGATTCAGGCATGGGGACATAGTTATCAAAGGTACCAGGCTTATAATTTGGTACGACAGATGCGCGTTTCGCCTGCATTAGACTCATCAGTCATCAGTGACACTCAGATCAAAATAGTTAGAAAGCCAAAACAAGTACAAAGTTGAAGAGCATTAAGGACCAGAAAATCCAAAAAGTTGTGTCAAATACAGCTGAAATCAGGCCTTGTAGTCATGAAAGTTTTGAGTCCATTTATTCTATTCAGACGCAGAAATCAACCAATCAAAAGACTGGATTTGAGGTTTTGATCATAAATTTTGTTCTCCATGAACTGAATATAGTTTTAAGACCAAGGGCGCTAGCACTAGACCCCCCACCCTATAAAGAAAGAAAAAAAAACATTGTGTTTAAATTACAGCCCAGGCCATATATAAAATGAAATATGTTTGTTTGCCCTAACCCTATACCTACCCAGAAAATAGCTGCCTACTCAAAATCTATTATTGTCCTGTGAAAAAGTGTTTTTTTTTTATTCAGATAGTCATAAAGACTTAAAAACATCTGACACATTAACTTCTCTTTGCCGAAAAAAAAAAAAAAAATGCCTACCTACCTACCCACTGGTCTACCTTTGGGTAGGGTTTGGGCAATCCAAAACATTTTTAACATGTTTAAGTTTATGGCCCAATTTAGTGTCAAAATAAGGTCCTCTAATTCCTTATTCTCACCTGATCCATGCCTACTACAATGTTTTGCTTATATATGAATATTATGATTTGTGGTGAAAAATGAGACAGTTACACACAAGCTAACCTAACAGGCATTTAGACATGTTAGAGGTAACATTATTAGTAAACCTACCTGAAAGAAAGGATGGTCAAATCCATGTGGTTTGTCGGCTGTACCAGGTGCCTTTTCTCTGTCTGCCCATCTGTGAACAAAGATTCATAATTGTTAATTAAGTTTTTACTGTAAATCTCAGAAGATGAGAAATAGTGTAGTTAAATTCATAATTTTTTGCACTGCTTGTTTTAATAAATGCAAACAATGTTACAGGAGGAGTATGAAATTATAGACAATCTGGTCTATTGTTGTCTCATAAGCAATTATACCACATCTCCTTATTATCATAATGATATTAAATTCATAAAAACAAATTTTACTGATATGCAATAATTTCTTTATAACAGGTTTCTCATTGTGTCTTTAAGTTTTGTAAATATAATATAGATAGGCAAAGGATTGTACACACGTAAAACTCCCTGTCTGTAACTAAGGGAAACCGACATTTTGAATTCCAGAATGTATCACCATGTAATTTCTCAAATAATAAGCAAAAAAAATCACATTTTGCACCTAGAAATCTTCTTTTATTCAAATTTGATAACATTCTGAGGTGGACAAGAAGCCAGAAAACGGCCTTCTAGACTGTTTCTACCCATAGACTGTTTACTCTTCACACCGTAAACATACCTGTGAGTCACCAAGTTAAGGTGTCAAAAAAAATGACATCGTTTACAGAATTTTTGTTTAATGAAATTTACCACTGAAACAATGACTAAAATTAAATGATTTGTTTATTTTGCATTAGAATAGAGATAACTGTGTTGTGCTTAAAGCTTTGCAGACGTCCATTGGTAGTTTTTTACTGTTGCAAATATTCATTTACCTGACTGCCCTACCCATAGCCAGGTAAACTCAATTTTCGACAGTAAAACTACCGATGGATGTCCGCAAAGCTTAAAATACAATGCAGTTATCTCTTTATATTTATAAATAGAGCTTATGTCTGCATCTATATATTTGTTTTTCATGTTGCTGGCTTTAAATATGCTTTATTTATTATTATTGATTTTCTTCCTGTTGGTAATGAGAGAGAATTATTTGTTTGTTTATCCATTGTGTCTTCCAACAGGGAGCAGTGCCGTGACTCATGCATTTTCATGCTTATTTGGTGGCATTTTCCTTGTATCAGTTTTTTTTTTCTGTTGATCTTTACATTTTTTACAAAATGTCATGCAATTGGTTCATGAAAATTTTACAGTCCTGGGCTGAGGGTCACAGGAGCAGAAGGACCTGTTCCTGAAATACGGATTGAGCCTTTAAATTTCATGGGAATTCAGGATTTAATTATATGGTGACGCAGGAACTGACACATTATTTTCACAGAAATTCAGGATTTGGCATTTATATTCTCACATTCAGGATTTTGGGAAAAGACCCGGCCCTCCTCTTGAGAATGAGAAAGTTGGAATAAATATGACTTACTTTGTTGACAGTGTGTTAATTGAACCTGTTATCACCATGACAATGGCGAGCACCAACTGTCTGAACGTCCATCCTCCACATACTGGCATTATGTTTGTTTTGGTTTTTTTTAAGTGTTCAGATTTTCACACTCAGAGTTATTTGCAATGTTCAATTTGTTTCACTAAAAAAAATCTTCCTGTTTGTCAACCATTGAAATATAATGCAGGTGACGTCAGCTCAGAATACACAAATTTCTGTTCCCTTTAAAATTCAGGTACATGTACAAGGAAGAGGAAGTAATATAATGGAGTTTTTGCAGACAGAATCTTCTGCTAGTATTGTGAAAGTTTTTGTTCACATGATCAATTTTCAATGTCACGTGTCCTGGGTGCGTTTTCATATATCCAACCGAAAAATGAACGGACGAAATTGAGTGGTTTTTTTCACAACTGAACACCGCCATACTATGAATACCTTAAAAATGTTAATACCATTGAAAACAGAAAACGCCAAAATGAAGATATTACATGTATCTGTTTCATTAGAATACGTCATTTTTATTGGTTGACAACAATCGCGAGGAGCTCCAATATTATATATCGATATTATTTCCGTATAAAATACAACAACTTTGACTGTGACAATGTTAAACCACAAGGACTCAGTTAGCAGATTAAAATTTGTTAATCAATATTTAAAAAAAATCGTATTTCCTGTCTATTTGTATTAACAGAGACATATATACACAGAGACATATATACACATGTCTCTGTGTATATATGTCTCTGGTATTAACCAGGGACTTTCTTTATTAAATAGTTAGTACCCATAGACTGTGACAGCCTGTTTTAACATTACATTATTAACGTTTTTAACGTTGGCATCAATATTTCTTTGTTTTCTAGCAATTAATGTGCAGTTTACTATATCCATATCCGTATATTGAAAAATCCTAGGATAGTAAACTGCACGGCATTGCTAGAAAACAAAGAAAAATTGATACCAACGTTAAAATCGTTAATAAATTAAATTAATGTAATACAAATATAGACAGGAAATACGAAAGAAAAAATTGAAAAACATTGATTAACAAAATTTTAATCTGCTAGCCGAGTCTCTGTGTGTTAAACCTGTGAACAGTTTATCTCATATATGTTCCTGGTTAAACATGTAAAACAATGCATAGAAAAACAAACGAAAAACCTGATATAACTTGTAGCATAAACATGTCAATTATAAGAATTGAATTAATTCTTAATTCTTTTTATAATTTTATATAGAGTTGTATATATAAAATATGCTTCGGTCAATGCTTTTACGCCCGAAAAAAAATCATAAAAAGCATTAAATAGATATAAAAAGATGTGGTATGAGTGCCAATGAGACATCTCCATCGAAGTCACAATTTGTAAAAGTAAACGTACGGCCTTGAACACGGAGCCTTGGCTCACACCGAACAGCAAGCTATAAAGCATGTAAAGTCTTAAATGTGTTTCTTTGTTCCTCTTTTATATTTGACTTACCTTTGAACGAGGACGAATGTATATGTTAATGAATATTTATACAAAATAATGTGCATGAATTCATGAACTCATAGGCAATTGTCTCTAAAAAAAATCCTATATACTTTAATATTACACAAGGTCAACTAACTCACATATTTGAAAAACTTCGAACTTCCGTTATGTTATAATTCTGCAGTTGTCTATGCCACTGAAATTTGTTATGTCGTAAATCTACATAAATAAATGTAGACAAATGTGTGATGGTAATGGTATAATCGAATCCATGCATGGATGTTTTATAACTGAAGGATGCAAGGATAAAAAATCACAAATTGCAATAGGATTTTAATGCCTGTCTTTACAACTCATCCTGTGCAACTGTAAATGAGTCAGATGCACAAATATATACACGATCTTATATGAAGGAGATGACACGCGAGTTTGGGAAATGATACCGTATATAAACATTAAATTTGGTTTTAGCAAGGATTTGTATAGCCTAAGTATCTGTCTAAATCTACAAATCCTTGGTTTTAGTTATATATCTTTAAAATGACAACTGGCGCAAAAAGACTAATCAGTTCTTATGTTGTACTGTACACTACTGTCCCAAGTTAGAGGGGGGAGTGTTGGCGCCTTTAAACTAGTGTAACCCCGCCACATTCTGTATGTGCCTCACTGTCCCAAGTCAGGAGTCTGCATGGAGTCGGTTTCACAAAAAAACTTACGACTAATTAAGATTGATCGTAAGTATACTGAATTGTTCATGATTACGATCAATCTTAATTTTAAGTTTTTTTGTGAAACCGACTCCTGTAATTCAGTAGTTGTCGTTTGCAATTGTTGCTGTGAATCATATTTGTATTTCGCTAATTATTTTGTACATAAATCAGGCTGTTAGTTTTCTCATTTGAATCGTTTTACACTACAATTGATTTCGGGGCCTTTTATAGATGACTATGCGGTTATGATGGGGGTTTTCCCATTGTTGATAATACCACATCTTCTTATTTTTATAATCAGTGTTTGATATAAAAATAGGAATATGTGGTATGATTGCCAATGAGACAACTCTCCACCAGAGACCAAAATGACTTAGAATTGAAAAAAATATAGGTCACCGTAAGGGGTTCAACAATTAGCAAAACCCAAACCGCATAGTTTCTCTAATGCTTAGATAAATTTTCATTTTTGATAAACGAAAATCCTCTTCGAGTGCCTTCCACCTTGGAACAGAATATCAATATATATGTTCCTGCTTCCACATTCAAAAACAATTGTCAATTTCTCCAACATGCACCTGTTAGCACATTTCGAGCTGATACCGCCTCGGTGGTCTCGTGGTATCGTGTTTGCCTCGAGTGTGGGAGGTCGTCGGTTCGAACCCCGTCCTGGTCAAACCAAAGTTTTTAAAATTGGCATTTGCTGCTTTTCCGCTAAGTACGCGGCATTAAGGAGTAAGAGCAAAGCCTGGTCGGCTCGGAGAGAGAATAATGTGCCCGAGTAAGGTGACATGTCTTCCTGTGCGGGACCGTTACCTTGTAAACTAGTACGTTAAAAATCCGGGCTCGGCGTGTTGTTCTTGTACAAAGCAGGGTAACTATTCAAATAACATTGACATGTTCTCGTCCTGAATATGCATATTAATTTGCCGCTGGACGTTAAGCAGCCATCCATCATCATCATCGAGCTGATAAAGGTTATGACCCAATCAGCCAATTATCTTTGTCACCGGATTATGCATCGGCAACCACACATTGATAATTTTTTTTATACAATGGGTCCAGAAAGGGTTAAATTGCCGAAGAATTAGAGAAAAGTGTTTATCAATATTTACTTGTGTATTTATGTTTATTTACAATGCCTATTGTGAAATTTTTATAACAGCCCTGTAATTTTGTATTAGAACAAATAAAATATTCGTATTTGAATAGGACTAACAAAAGAACAAAATACATTATTGCTATAAGTTATAGTTATTTTTGCCTTTGGGTCCGATTAAAAGTAAGGGGCACACTTTCAAAATATTGAGTGGTTAGGGATGAGCCAGTGTAATAAGTTACCTTTTAAGGTGGCGAATTTAAGATGAAATATATGGTACTGTTTTATAGAAGTCTCATTTGTACTACTAGCTTTCAAATAGGAAACGATTGTTTATGTCACGATATCAGGTTGATAATTGTATAATATGTATCTAAAACATCAGAAGTCAGTATTTCCAAAGGTACGATTAAAACCAGTCGTAAGGTCACCCATTGTCAGATTTGTTTTAAATCTACTGAAAGGAGTATTATTTTGGATTAAGTTTTCCTCAAGGGAATTCATTGAATGACGGAATCGATAAGAATTTGTATTTTGGTTCTCCTGTTGAATTTTTGTTATCCAAATGTTGATAGTTTGGTTGAAATAATTAAAAGAAAAGGTAGGAACTGTAAACTTTGTAAGAGGGATTTACGGCGGGCTAATCGCCAAATGCCCATTGATCCCAGAGATTATAATTTAGTTGGTTTCTCTTGGAGAAAACATGTACTTGTGGATAAAGTGTTACATATTGGGCTATAAGAACTTGAAGATATTTTAGCTTTTCTTTTTTTGTAATAGATTTTCTTGTTCAGAATAAAGTACAAGATCGAAGCAGCAACTTCCGATGATTAGTTTTTATTTGAAAGAGCAGAACATTCACGCACCTTTCCATATTCAAGACGACTACACTACCCTGAATAGTTTGTTAAAAAGCAGTTGTGCATTCTTTTACTTTGAACAAAAAAAAAATCATTAAACGTTTGGATGTTTTTTAAACGTTCATTTATTAAGCGTTCTGTTAATGTTTGTAAAAACGTTGTTAAAACGTTACCACAACTCAACAAATTTTTGTTAAAATAACGCTCTCTTACAACGTTTCTATAACCTAATCACAACGCTTTTTATAACGCTTAAATTTTACGTTTGATTGTTTGCTGGGAATGTTCATCAGTATACATTTGTCAGAGCCCGGTTAAAATTAAATGCCGTGACTCGACCAGGTGCAAAACTAAAGTTGATCGACGCTTCAAATACATATCTTCAAATTTAGAGAATGAAATTCAAAACAAATTAATCATAAACTAAAAATAAACCTGCCTAGTAAACTGCCCAGATAAATAATGAACTTACTGATGTTTACATCTACAAAGAAAACTATTCAAGAAACGGTATCAAAATTGTTACGGTTGAGTAAAATTCAATGATGAGAACTCATCAAAAATGGAAATTCATCTAATTCAATATGACAAAAATAAAAGATAACAGTTTCTTAGAATTTCCGGTAATTGTTTATTTTTATTCAAAAAGCAAAAACAAAAATACGCCCACTATTATAGTTGACCTAAGATGTATTTCCAAATGCACCTAAAATTAGTTACCTTTCCTTGGTCTTACGCAAATTATCACCACTGGAGACGGAAATAGAGCTACAACTGGGTCCCTGTTACTTAAAGGGACGATAGAGACAATTTGTTAAGTACGTGGTAGAAACCAGATAACCATTGTTGGCTGTGGTCCTTGAACGAATTTCTGGAAAATTCAATATTCTGCGTTCTTAAAACACATTGACTCAAAATGTTTGGAAGATCAATGTTTAGAGGATTAGAAGAAGATCCATTTTTTGCGTAAGTCTGTTGATAATTCCACTTTCCAACTTCTGTAAGGAAGGGAAAATATTTATGTCAGAGATCAGAAAGTAAAACTAAAAGATAAACAAAATACATGTACCAGCTATCCCTCAAGATTCAGTATTAGTTAAGGAGAGACCAAAACTTCAAATAAGATCCAAACAAATTAGTGACTATAAAACAACAAACATTGTTAGACAAATTTGTACAAAACAACAGCTGGTGTTTCAAAATTGCACCTAGAAAATCTGACCAATATAAACTCATTCTTTGTAAGAACAATTTTTCGATTGGAATAGACTACCAGACAAACTCGTGCCAAGACAATAAAGAGCTTTAAAACTTTGGTTGCTCTCACATCGTTGGACTGGCCCTGCAACGTACCTATTCATATTCAGATGTATATGGGTATAATTTATAACCAAAATCCGATCAATTTACAGTGATGACAATTTGAATTTTGTATTTCAGTAAAATGGCTGTCATGCCACACACATTCATATGACAGGCATCCTTTTACCCTTTTCAATGAGACCACAGTTCATATTTATACATGCAGTCAGGGGTACTACTTGTACAAGTAATTTTTTATTTACTTGAAGAAGTAAATATAAATATACTTATATATCCTACCGTAGTCTATAATCGGTCATAATGTTGGTTCGTTCGGATTTTGTTATTGTACTTATCACACGGGAAAACTCCGCATTGACGTCACTACGCTAATACCAGCGTACAAAATTAGTACAGAATACATTTTTTCTACTCTTCTAAATAAACAAACATTTCTAAAGATATGTTTTCATTGTTATTCTAAAGAATTGTACAAAAATGCCAATTTTCTAATGGCCGTTTCAAACCTGACTTCCGAATGCCTAAAAACATTCCAGAACTTCAGAAATCCCCTCTTCTGGCCTCCATTGCTTTGTTTACATTCCATTAAGCGTCATCAATCTTAATGGCAGACCAAACAGGCCAAGCAAATCGTATTTTCAAGAATTTCAAAATGGCAAGCACCTTACGTCTTAATCGATTTTCCCGCAAAAAAAACCCATCCAAAATGAAAGAAAAACTTTGGGAAACAAACGATAATCATGCCATATTTTTGGTCAGGAATATAGAGTAGGTTAATAAAAAAACAATATACATATATTTTTCATTAAAAAAAAAATTGGTTCAATATAAAGAGATCGATATTCTGACCATAAGTAAATATTCATATAAAATTCCATTGATATCAAATTTCATGGCTAATAATGAGGTTTCCTATTGAATAAACCCCCAATTTATTGCAAACTATTTCAAAGCAATATCATACAAACAAATTATATAATTGCCTTGTACTAAAAAATCACCTAATTGACAGTAGAGCAATTTGATTGGATATAACGATTCAATGTGTCACGTGGTTTTGAAGCCATTAGAATTTGAATGTAAACAAACCGGGTCAGCTGCTGCAGTATGGAACAACATCGTACATTCAGTGACTGAGAAACAATAATGAGTAACCAAGCTTGACAATACACAGTAATAAAAAATCAAAGCTAAGTCTACAGAAAAATAAAATAAAAAATGGCGTTAAGTGCACGACTTACCACCATTGCGGGATAAGTAAATTTGTAGGATACTTATACAAGTGTATTTTATTTACTTGTATATATAGGTAAATAATTTTTTGGCTTAGTTATGTCCCTTAGACATTCAGATTTTTTTACTTATATAAGTAAAAAAGTCATCCTATCTTCTTTTCTTGAATTCTTAGGACTTCTTTGCTCTAATAGAATTTTAAATTGTCTGTCCTTTGCAGATGTCTTTACTTATTTAGAATATAGCAAAGTACTCTCGACCAATGAAATTGTAGAATTGGATGCCTCTTAATTGTGAAGAATGAATGTAAATCATGTTCTTAGTAAGGTATTATCCTATTATTTGGGTCTATTTTCAGTTCAAAACAAAGAGTTTCTATAAATTAAATGAGTTACAACTGCCCCGAAGCACATTTATCAGATTGAAAGGATTTATCACACAGTGATTGAAACTGACTAAAAGTTGAATTGTGAAACAAACAAAAATCTCAAAACAATTTCAAGTTTACTGGTGCAGTAAAATTGGTACCGTGAACTTTATTATGAAAATATTAATAACTTCAAATTAATATAAAATTAAACAATACCAAAGCAATGCAAAAAAAAAAGAAAAAAAAATCTTTCAGATAAAAAATAACCTAAATCTCTAGCTTTTCAAAACTTTGATTACTTGATCAGCGGTTGGGGAGAATAGTTATTTCCAATACATGTATTCCGAAAAAAAAAACCAGGAATTTAATTTTGAACATATTAAAAACTTTTAAGGGCATTATTTTTTAACATTTCCCTGACATAATGAAACAGTATTTGATGTAAAAAGCCGGACCAAATTATTGGCTGTGAAATAAAATTTAGTTGTAACTCAAATGTATTAATTGATTTAAACTGTAAATAAAAAAGGATAATTCCTCACTAAAATATTACATGATTTACTTTCATACTCACAATCAGGAAACATACAATTCCTACCTTTTCTTTCTACTGTTGTGTCACCTAATATCTATAACGCATTTAAAAAAAAAAAAAATTTCCCAAATGATAAGAAAGTCCTCACATCGCTAAAACATCCATAAATGACATGCCGAAAAAGGAAGTCATGCATCAATTATAAACATTGCACTGACAATGAAACTAATTCTTGAATAGATCATTTGAGCCTTGAGCACTTTACAATATTCTAAGTTTGTAAGAGAATGATAATCCCTTACTTCATGATAAGTACTCGCTAACGCTTGTACTTATTCATGAAGAAAGGGATTATCATTCTCTTACATATACTTATTTAGTGTAATTTCATGGACAATGAAAATCTCATTTGTCTGTTATCTTCAGAAGACTGCTCATTTACAAGCCCCCAAGGGGCAATTTTTGAAGGCCTTGCACAAATACTTAAGATCTTTGCGCAATCAGTTTCTTTGTTGAATTAATGAGATAAAACATTGAACTGGAATCAAAAATTATGAGCTAACCTGAGAAAAATCATTAAAGGCACGTTTTTACGTCTCAAAACTGGAGAATTTTTGTGGGATTGTAAAAAAAATTTACCTATGCAAGTAAATTTTTGAGAAAATTAAGGGGAGATCATTATAATTAACTTATATAAGTATATTTTTTTTACTTCTTCAAGTAAATAAAGATTACTTGTACAAGTAGTACCCCTGACTGACATGAGAACTGAATAAAATGTACCTAATACCAAATATTCTATTTTTTGAAGGCCATTAGATTAACATCACACCTGCCAAATTATATGATTTAGGTCATGTAGGTATGAACTACAAGATTTTCAACCATTGTCCATCATCAAGATTTTGTAGACATGATAAGAATCTCCATGAAAAATTTGCCATTTCAAGAAATTGTGGTCGGATTCTTTAACTGTACAGGTTGGGGAAGATCCTCATAAAATGATAAATGGTTGCTATCTTCATTTAGCCAATCAAGGTCGTTAAAAACTTCCATTTGTTGTATCTTCATTTATGGGAATTATACCCAAAATCGGGTATCTATTTACAGAACATGATAAAAATTGAAATTTTGTATTTCATCATGATACATGTAGAGCTCTGTCTTGGCACAAATATTCATACCGTAGAAAGGCTTGTATAGTCCGCGGTTTTATTCTCCAAAATTGGACCTTCCAGACGGGGTGCGGACTATAGAGTACAATAAGCAAGAAATAAGAGAAAAATTTCAATTTCGCGGTCGAGGTGGTTTGTTTACGTTCCGCCATCTTTGTTATTTCTATTGTAGAGGGCGCTCTTATCATTTTTCAAACTAATAATTTTAACTCATCCATATTAATAAGTTATTTCTATTCAATATCAAATTAATACTGATAAATATAAAAACTAAACCTTTCATTACAAATTTCTCGTTTCTTTTCAATGCATTGGTTGAAATAAACTGGTATCTGCTTGATTGAAACGATACAAACATAGTGAAAAAGACAACCGTAAACCAGCTTAGAATTTGTAAACTACAAAACGAAATCGGTTATTGTTCGTTCCGTTTTGGTGTTTCATACTGACTAATATGGTTTGTATTAGCTTAAGACCCTTCAAACATTAATGTGATAGATATATTAAAGACTGTTTTACAAAAGGATGGAACTGTTTTGCTTTCAAAGTCGTATTATAGTGATATCTGTTATGTACGGATTTCGACTCTCACCGGTTAATTTCTTCTTTTACACGTGCTTTTTAAACTTCCTGTTCAAACATACACAAGTTTCTAAATTGTTTTTTAAGTGAATTAAACTTATTTTAACAATCATGAAGCGTTCTAGAATCATTAACAAGCAGTTTCAGCTTCTGTTTGATGATGGAAAACAGGTTTTTCCAAGAAAATACCGCAAACGACCGCACAGGATTTGAAATTACCGGAGTTTCATTAGACCTTTTCTAACAGTTACAAAAAGTTTTTTTTCCTAAAATTTCGTGGGGAGAAGGGGGTGCGGACTATGTACCACTGCGAACTATACAAGCCTTTCTACGGTATTAATGGTAACAATTTTCCGTTTAAGACCATAGTTCAACTTCAAATGAGAACTGAATACAAAGATAATAACCTCCAAAAATCCTAGTTATCTTTTATCCTGATATTTCCCCGAATGTTTGTGCCATGACAGAAAAATATCTGTAAACATGGTAAATGCAGAGTTTATTGTTATAACTGAAAATTGATACCCATTTAGAGGTATGATTAAATAACCATAAATGAGGATAGTACCTATTTATGAGGATCATCCCCAACCTGCTGTAGGGAGTCCCTATACCATGTGTATACTGAAGGGTTTATTTATGGTTAGGTTACAAATGTATGTTGTTGGTTTAGGCTTATGTTAGGGTTAGAGGAAGGTTTATGTTAACTGATGGTTAAGTATATAGCTTTATATGGGTTGGGACCACTTAGAAACATTTGATCATGAGACCTTAGAAGGACAGTAAATGAGTAGTAATATTTAAATCTGAGGATCTGTATGTTATAGTTTTACCTCATACTTATCACAGATATGAAAATAATGATGAAATCTGATTAGATGGATTAGGTAAAAAAAAAGTATACAAATGTCATGAACATGATGATTGTATTCCTGTTTAACTGGTTCAGTATAATTCATAATATCTCTATTTATGGTTTAAAAAACAAATCAGGCATCAATTTACAGCTACATGTATAAAGATTTGAATTTGTATTTCATTATGCATGAAATGGCTGTCATTATTCATGGTGCACATATTCATTTAAGTGGCACATTTTCCGCTTTTAAGACCATACTAAAACACATGTTGAAAATAGAGCTGAATAACAGTTAATGACCTCCAAAAAGTATATATGTATTTTTAAAGCCATTAACTTAAATAACTTTTATCTTGGTAATATTTCATTCATGGTGTCTAAGGGCAAAATGTTGCCTTTTACATCAACATGTGCACCAGAACCATTGATGACATCAAATATATATATCATGTATATTTATCTTTATTTTCTCAGTTTCTCAGTTTCTTCATTGTTCTTGTACAATTATCCAGCCAATTACAAAAAAATGTAAGCTAATTTGATGCATCTGCTATATATATATATATAGCTAGTCATGCTAGTGTGACCCATGATTTTTTTCGCCATATATGTACATGTAGTAACACTTGTTTGTACTGTACTATGCCATACATGCACATGCACATCAAGGTTCTCACTAAGAAATTTTTAAGGTAAGTCTAGGGACTTGTCATACATTTGTATTTGGACACAGTGAGTCCAATTAATAGTGACATTAGCAGTCAGGGATATAACTCTATAGGGTTATTAGAGAAAATATCATACATGTGTTATTGTGGACTAAAAAATCCAAAAACTGTGATAACATATGTATGTTACATGTTTCAAAGGGGCAATACATATCCTTTGTTTTGTTAAAATGTATACAAGTTCTATTGATATTATTATTGTCTTAATGTATACTAAACTTTAGATATAACTGTTCATAGTTTGCCAATCATTCATAATACACCTATGTTATTACAGAAAAAATATGCCTGTAATAACTAAAGGGTGTTATTACAGCTTCACTACATCACTTCAAAGCCTTTGCTCAGACATATATCATGCTTAATCACAATGTATTTCAATTTATTGTATGAAATGATGATCAGAGCATGTAATGAGGTTCTGTGCAAGCTTCGAAGTAATTCCCAAGTGTCTCATAATCATATAAAAAGTTACATGCCTGTAATAACTAAGCCTTGTTATTACAGCTAAATTTATTGCTTAAAAGCCTTTTCTCATTGATTGGTTGATAAAAAATGTATTAATGTAATGGAAAATATATGTTATCAAGGCTATGTATTAAGTTACTGCGCAAAGTTTCAAGAATTTTTAAGTGCCCACTAAAAATTAAAATATTTATGATTTATTAACATATGTTACTACAGATGAAGAGAATTTTAGGAATAAAGAGTAGACAACTCATGAAAGTATCTGTAATAACACATGTATGATATTTTCTCTAATAACCCTATAGAGTTACATGTATATCCCTGACTGATGAGTGAGAAGGTGAAATTTGTGTCATAGAATGATGATATATGTTCTTAGTTGATACAACCTTGATGCATCTTTGGACTTGCTAGTTTTGGACATGAAGAGTCCAGACAGATTTTTATTAGTCCAGGACTCATGGACTCACTTTAGTGAGAACCCTGCACATGTACATGTAGTAACACTTGTATTTTTTTATTTTAGTGCTCACCGAAACCACATGGCCAATATGAGTCAGATGTTTAACGACCCGTTTCAAATGCAAAATATTGGACCAAGAATGATCCAAGATAGAAGAGATCCCAGAGCAGCTGATAGATCCAGGGCTGTACAACAACAACAACAACAACAACATATGGACCCTTTTGGTTTTGGAATGTTCGATAACATGATGTTTGGTAACATGAGAAATATGATGGCAAATATGCACCAGCAATTTGTAAGTGAAATTATAAATTTAATTATCACACACCAATTATAATAAAAAGAAATTGTTTATTAAAACAGCCATAATGCAAACTTGTTTATTTAAAAATTTAATAATACCATGAACAGGTATACTCATTACCGAGTTAAAAATATGAAACAACATCTCTTTTTATAAATCTTGGAAAGTACTCAAATTACATAAAGCACAAAATAAAGTGGTTTTAATTGCTTAGAAAAAGAAAACGTTTATAGCTAGCCTAAGTATACGTGTATAATCATGATAACTTCTAGTTGAAATAAATTGGTGTCTTGAACATGTTGAAAATGTTCATAAAATCCTGTAGCTTGTTCATAAAAATTAGTTTGAATCTATATAACATGCATATAATAATATTTATTCATATTAAAAGAATTTAGTATCAAGGACAACAAATGCTGATTCTGAAAAAAATATTAAAGATGGTCTATGGAAAATATTAGAGAAAAAATTAAATTATTTTGCCTGCCCTCATTTTTTCTGCCAGGATCTCTTATCCATGACTAAGTATAATTTTTTTTGGCCTAAAAATTCCATTTCTGTCTGAAGACAGGAAACAAGCTTATAGTTTGTTTGGCCTAAAAGTTCTATATATATCTTATTACTTTTAGTAAAAGCATGTCAAATATATGGTTGGTCCACATAACACAATATATTTCATTGTAATTCTATTGATTTGTTTACAGGACAATGTTGGTAACAATCCAGATGGACACAGCTACATGCAGTCATCCTTTATGTCCTATTCCAATACAGGCGACGGAGCACCGAAAGTATATCAGGCCTCATCATCAACACGTAGAGCTCCAGGAGGGGTAAGAAATTATTGTTATATTTTCAAATCTATACAAAGATAAGGAGATGTGTTATGATTGCCAATGAAACTAACCGTCCACCAAAGTTTAAAAAAAAGAGGATGTGAACAATGATGGGCATTTGTAAAGTCGGCTATAAAAAGCCCTGACATAAAAATTTTGAACAATTCAATTGTGGAAACTAATAGCCTAATTCTGTCCGTTTTTAAATTTTGAAATTATTAAGAAACTAAGGTTTCAACTCCCTCAGGCAAAGTTGACTTTAGATGAATTTGGCTATTTATTTTAGGTAGTTTTTGTCGAGCCTGCGACTTTTGTCGCAGAAAGCTCGACATAGGGATAGTGATCCGGCGGCGGCGTTAGCTAACTTCTTAAAAGCTTTATATTTTAGAGGGTGGAAGATCTGGATGCTTCATACTTTGTATTTGGATGCCTCATGTTACGAAGTTTCCGTCAGTCACATGTCCAATGTCCTTGACCTCATTTTCATGGTTCAGTGACTACTTGAAAAAAAAGTTAACATTTTTTGTAATGTTAAATTCTCTCTTATTATAAGTAATAGGATAACTATATTTGGTATGTGCGTACCTTGCAAGGTCCTCATGCCCGTCAGACAGTTTTCACTTGACCTCGACCTCATTTCATGGATCAGTGAACAAGGTTAAGTTTTGGTGGTCAAGTCCATATCTCAGATACTATAAGCAATAGGTCTAGTATATTCGGTGTATGGAAGGACTGTAAGGTGTACCACACTGGTTCTCCGGTAAAGCGCCCAACGTCAGAGTAAAACATGATAAAATATAAATTGCAGCAAAACCTGTAAATAAAGAACATGGACCATCCTCATAGTATATTCTATCCAACATATAAATTTCAGCATGTAATATGCTACTGTTAATATGTAATGATCGAGACAGTTTAGATGAAAAAATGTCAAAAAAATACATTTAACGTCATTTTATTTCCTATGACGTCGTTATCTGATAGCGTGATTATCAATACCAAAAATGCTAAAAACTTTGAAATCATTATTTTTACGGTGTTTTGTTATTTTTATTAATTCTCAAAAACCTTAATGTGCGTTTTTCTTGTGAGTTGAAATTAACACAAATTAAGGTGATACATCTTCCTGTGACTGTTTCCTTGTGAACTAGTACGCCAAAAAAATCGACTCAGCGTTTTGGTCTTGTACAAAGTAAATAAATATTAATATCGTATTAACATGCTTTCGACCCGAATATGGTTATAAATCGCCGCCGAATGCTCCTCCTCCTCCTCCACCTCACCATCATCGTCATCATCTAGTTTGCCAATCTGTGTTACCATGAATTATCATTGATGTGGTCATATTTATAAATATTTTCAAAATGCACAAGAATGGCGTATAATGCATTCATCCCTTGCTTTGAATAGTTTGAATAACTAAGAATTTTCTTTTGTAGACGAAACACAACTCTTGAATCTTTGATAGGTCACTTCCTTTGATATTCAATAATACTTTTTTCCTTGGAATCGGAAATTTGAAATGTTAATATAGGAGAGTGACGAGACGTGTTTATATCAGATCAAAGGATTAAACGAATCACTTTTTTTGATAATGATTAAAGTTATTATAATACTGAAATTTTAGAGGAGAAATGATTGATTGATTGTTGTTTTCTGAACGTACAGTGGCAAATATTTCATGCAGAATTATGACCGAGAGAAAAATTTTTAAACAATAAATAAGATGTTGCATGCGTTGTCGTTAAAAAAGAATTTAAAAAACCCCAACTCCAATAAAAATAAACAAAACCATTTATTTATTTGAAATAACCCAAGATATATGAGGTGGTTTATAGAATAGAAAATAATCTCCCCCCCCCCCCCCCCCCCCCCTAAAAAATAAAGAATGAAGAAAAATAGGCAATCAAATAAAGAATAGAAAATAATGGGTAAAAAAAAATACTGATTTCAGAAATAAATAATTTACAGAATAATGAAACTTTGCGTTTTCTGCATATCAAATTTATTATTGATAATTGACAATAGACAAGTAGATCATTTAGAATAAAATGTTGAACTGGTCGTAATCGGAACTGGTTTATTGAAATTAGCGATGCAAATTATATACATTCATAAGCATCGGTATTTTTCTCCAAAATCAAGATCTTGCACGAGTTAACGTATCATTTCGTTCCGAAGCGCTATTTTGGATTTATCTTCATCATTTACGCCCAGCGACGAATATTTGAAAGCCAAGGATGTAAAAGAACAGAAAGAGTTGATGAGCTATATGACCAAAAAGGACATAAAAAAATAGCCAAATCAGTCGAAGATTAACTTTGCCCGATGGACTTGAAACCTTAATTAGTTTCTTTATAATTTCAAAATTTATCAATAGATAATTAAAGGGAATTGAATGGAATTGCAGAATCAAAACGGCTCTTTCGTCGACATAATTCCTACATCTTCAGTTTCATAATTGTAAGATCCATAACTCATTATAATTAAAAAAAAAACCAATTTATTGGTAAGGGCTGGAAGACTGATTGATGCTTGAGGACGGATTACATTGTCTTAGATTTTTTGGGGGTATTTTCAGTACCAATAAATGTTAAATATATTTGAATATTCTCCAAAACAATTAATTAATAGGCAATGTTTTAATATTTTGTTGGACAGTTGGGCAATCAAGGATAAAATCTAGTTCTGGTGATCGAATTTTTACTCTATCGGATTTCAGATTTCTCTTAATGTCGGTGGAACTACCGGTACTGTCCCTGTTATAAAACTGAATGTTCAGCTTCTCAGTACTAGTACCTCATATGACAAACCAAATATGATCAAATATACCTCATGTCATCTTAACTTCTGTTTATTATCCCAGATATCCAAATTATCACGAAGAAATTAAAATGGTCTTTTTCTCCCCCGTTTGGTTTCAATCAGATATTCAGATATTAATCAAAATTGGTAAATGGTATCATTTGTGCAGTACAGTGACAGATTAAAAAAAGGGGGTTGGGGTACTGGGTAGTGTCGTCATACGTATGTCGTTGATACAGACAAGAAGATTTATCATGTCAATATTATGATACAACAGGAAATTTTCATATGCAGGATCTGAATGCAAGAATTTTACAGAATAATCATATTTCTTACTGAATAAAGAAAAATGGCCTAAAGTATTACAAAATACAGAAATGTAGACCCCCTCCCCTAATCCAGACCGTCATATATATTATATTGTGACGGATAGTTTTGTTGATCTATTTAACTGTTTTAATTTTCGAAAAGAATATTTGTACAAGGTGTTGTTAATAAATGTAACGGACAATATATACCATGCCCTCTCAGCCGACGTCGTAATTTCATTTCAATGAAAGAAAGTATTTAAAAGCTTGTTTCCCTGTGCAACATGATATAAAACTCATTAGGCAGAGCAATTTTAATGGCTACTTGCATAATTGTTAAATCGTATTAAATTCGGTATCAAATTTATATTAATAATAAACGTTGCATATCTTGAATATTGAAAACAGGTTAAAATTATTGACCTGCATTAATATTGATATTTATCATAATTTATATTTAGTAGTAAATACAGAAGTTTTGAATATTTGATAAATAGCCTGTTGTTTAATCCGTATCGCTCAACTTTGATGCGCACCCATTATCACACCCCTTTATCGCACCCCTATTTGGATTTCTCATTTATGACAGTAGTGATTCCGACGAAATTTACATGAAGTCCGATGTTTGTTAAACTAGATTTTTATATTTCAAAAGTGCAAATTTTACTCACCAGTCTCAAAGTAGTCTCTTGTTTATTACAGTATACTTGTTATTAAATTGTTGGTTTATTGTTGCTATTTTTTATTAACAGGTTTTATTTAGAATGTGTTTTATATAGTACAACATTACTAAAGGAAGATAAAAAGAACTGAATGAACTATCATACAAAACACAAACAAACAAAAAATACAATAAGCAAAATATTTCTATGGACAACAGGACCTAAATTGTAAGGTAACCCAATAAGCAGTTCCTATATATGATAAAACTTTTAAAACATGGCAAAAATAAATAAATCTGAAGGTAACCCAGGTGCTTCAGATCAGTAAGCAGTTCCTATATTACTCTCCTGTTTAAATCTGTGATAAAGCGTATACATGGCAAAATCCGTATCACATGCCGTATCATCCCTCGGGCTGATATTGGTATCTCAGGATGATACGGCATGTGATACGGATTTTGCCATGTATTATTCTCTATAAAAACATCCGGTTCGGTTTTTTCTAGGTCTGAGAAAAAAGCAACTGTGTTACACTTAAACAATTGATTAATAAAATTGTCACATGGTGTCTTCTTATGTCGATAATTACAATGTATGTTATTGATCTGTAAGTTATATATTCGCCATCCGTAATAATTATCTAATATGTTTATTTGGCATGCCATACTCGATAGAAGTGCGGACGTGATAGAAAGCACTCTTTACCAAAATGTCAACGGAGATTACATTCCATGGAGGTTACATTTCGATGATTTTGTCATTTATAAAACATAATACGTGTATCTGAAGATAGAAGTTGTACTAAAATTAAATGTTGACACCGATATCGATCTGTTGGATGTAAAATTTATTTTCAAAATAGGTGTTTGTTTAGAATAGACCATTCCACGGAGATTACATGCTTAACAAATCTCTGCAGTTTTCAACTTTGTTTAGTTTTGAGACTAATATGATTTGGAATAAATGACCATAGTTATAAACAAAATTATTTATGGTAACCTTATAATCAAATTTAACTCATATCACACTCAATGTTGTGCTTAATATTTTGTCCTGCTCGGTCTTTTTTCCTTTAACGGAAATTACAGGTTTACGAAAAAAATATTTTGACGGTCGTACTGATCACTATCGTTGTGCAACATGTACTAAACTTTATAAAAATTAAAAATATAGATAATAAAGAAATATAAAAATCTCAGATTTAAGTATAACAAGCTACGGGTATATATAACTCGGAGTCGTTAGTTTTGCTTTCTTACGGTGGGACAAATTAACGTCATAAAATGGGCGCTTTAACGGAGAACCAGTGACATGTCCAACTGGCAGGTGTCATCTGACCTTGACCTCATTTTCATGGTTCAGTGGTTATAGTTAAGTTTTTGTGTTTTGGTCTGTTTTTCTTATACTGTATGCAATAGGTCTACTATATTTGGTGTATGGAATGATTGTAAGGTGTACATGTCCAACTGGCAGGTGTCATCTGACCTTGACCTCATTTTCATGGTTCAGTGGTTATACTTAAGTTTTGTGTTTTGGTCTGTTTTTCTTATACTGTATGCAATAGGTCTACTATATTTGGTGTATGGAATGATTGTAAGGTGTACATGTCTAGCTGGCAGATTTCATCTGACCTTGACCTCATTTTCATGGTTCAGTGGTCAAAGTTAAGTTTTTGAGTTTTGGTCTTTTTTTCTAATACTGTATGCAATAGGTATACTATATTTGGTGTATGGAATGATTGTAGGGTGTACATGTCTAGCTGGCAGGTGTCATCTGACCTTGACCTCATTTTCATGGTTCAGTGGTCAAAGTTAAGTTTTTGAGTTTTGGACTTTTTTTTCTAATACTATATGCAATAGTTCAACTATATTTGGTGTATGGAAATAATTTATGATCTATATGTCAGTCACGCAGGTTTTATTTGACCTTGACCTCATTTTCAAGGTTCATTGCTCAGTGTTAAGTTTTTGTGTTTTTGTCTGTTTTTCTTAAACTATGAGCAATAGGTCAACTATATTTGTTGTATGGAAGAATTGTTAGCTGTACATGTCTACCTAGCATGGTTCATCTGACCTTGACCTGATTTTCATGGTTCATTGGCCAATGTTAAGTTTACTTGGTTAATGTTAAGTTTATGTGACAGTTGTAATAAAGCTTCATATTTAGGTCTATCAACATAATATCAATGATTAGTAAAGAAGGCGAGACATTTCAGCGTGTGCACTCTTGTGTCATATAGCTCTTCAACGGTTTCGGTACTTATACATCCTCGGATTTCAAATGTTTGGCTTTGAGCGTTCCTGATGAAGGTAAATCCAGAAAAGCGCTTGGACGCATGAAATTATTAAACGTGTTGTTTTCAATTTTTTTCATAACAAAGCAATAACAAACATGAACCAACAACAGCCACTGAGCTACAGGCTCCTGACTTGGGACATACACACTAGGTCTTTTTAAAGGATCAGCTGTTTAAATATCTGCAACATCATTTGCATTTCTTGTTTATTTTCAAAAATTCAAATACTAACAGAAACACATTTTCAAGAATTTGGCACCACAAATTTCAACAAATTTATGATTACAGAAAAGGATTGAAAACTTCAGACTTTCTAAGAAATATCAACTAATTGCATCTGAAAGGGGGTATTTTACAATATCTATATACAGACAACTTGATAATCTGTTTATCATTCTATTTCTGATCCATTCATTCATAGACAGTTTTACACCTGTAAAAAGTAAGCTACAAGTCTCCTCATACATTTTGACATTGCTGATAACTTCCCTTCAGGCATTGTGATGTCTTTAATAACTTCTAATGTCTGAAAGCTAGAATTACAAAGTGACTGAAAAGGGTGATATGCTGATATGGGCAAAAGGAAGGGCAATATCAGCATATAAAATTTTCTATATTGATAGTTAATATATGATGGCTTAATAGCTTGCATAGTCACACATTAAAGTTTAAACCATTGGACAAAGAAGTAATTAATGGTTATTAGAATAAAACAGCATGATATACTTACAAAAGTGATAATTCAAGAAGCAAAATATTCAGTAGTATAGTAAAAAGTGCGAAAATACTCAATATAACTGCACTGTATTGGAGTAAGTGAAATAAAACAAGAAAACAAAAATCACAATTAATGGGAGACAACCTTAGAGGAAAGAGAATAAAAAAAAATCAGAAAAAAACTGTAATATTATTCAGAAATGAACTTATAATTTATATATACTGTCAATTCAGAAATTATTGCAATTTTTGAAGAACAGACAAAATTGCGTGATTAATTATTGCGATTTCAGGGAAATCTGCATAAAAATTTATGTATTAGATATCAGAATGCGATACTCACCTAGTCCCATTATTCAGGCCTTATTTATATAAATTTCCATTGAAACCGTTTGAACTAAATTGCACTTGACAAAAATGCCATGATATTTGTAATATTCTTTTCATACAGATCAAAGAAACAAAGAAAATGGAGAAAGATTCGGCATCTGGTTTGGAGAAAATGGCTATTGGACATCATATACAGGACAGAGGTCATGTGATTGAAAGGTCTAGAAATAGGAGAACAGGAGACGAGAATGAAAATCAGGAATTCCATCATATAGATGATAGTATGTTTCAAATAGATGACTTTCGACATGATTTATAACAAACCTTTCTAAAATTGTCCGTTTATAAATTTAACTAAGGTTTCAACTCCCACAGACAAAGTTGACGGTAATGGATTTCCGTAGATGGATTTGGTTTCTTTTTTTTTTTTAGGTCCTTTTGGTTGTATATCTCTAAATTTGTTTTGGTTTTTATACATCCTTGGCTTTCAAATATTCATCTTTGAGCATTCCTGAGGAAGGTAAATCCAGAAAAGTGTTTGATGACTTCGTTTAACGCCAGTAATGATTAGAATACCAATTAGAATTAGAACTCCATAAATTTATGTAATACAAGCAAAAATCTGTTGGGTCAGGTAACATTTGTATTTGCTGCTTTTCCACTAAGCATGCTAAGCACATGTCATTTGGGAGTAAGAGCAATCTCTGGTCTGCTTTGAGTTGATATTATCTTGTGTATACTGTATTGCAAATTTTGCAACATGTTTTTTATACCCCCTCTTTATTATACCCCGGCTTTAAAAAAGTCAGCTATATTGTGTGATGTGTTTTCAGATTCATCACTCAACAACTTCATGTTTACCGTCAAGTATTTGGGCGGGGGTATCATCAGTGAGCAGTAGCTCGCAGTTTCTCTTGTTTAACATGTTTAAGAAGCAGAAACAATACTCATATTCTTTTTTAAATATTTTAATCTAGCCCAAGCCCAAGAATTTGACAGAGAATGGACAGAAAAAACACAACAGTTCAGGGGACCAACTAGGCTTGAATATGCAAGGAGAGGAGAGAGATCTGATCGAAGAAGGGATAATTTGGCAATTGAAGGAAGCAAAAAGAGAGACAAACACTCCTACAGGGATAGAGACTGAGAAAGTATGATTTTAGTCTCGCCTTGACGGAGTCAAAAAGTGAGACATAGGTATGCTGTTTCCGGCGTTGGCGGTGGCATCAACAGTGTATTAGTTTGTGATTAGGTCTTGTTTATGGTGAACCACTAGTGGTAGGTCAATGATATTTGGTATGCAGTTGCATTAGCATTGGCACATCTCATTTCCCTTGGGATTATTTGACTTCACCCCCTCAGTCATGGTCTATTGACTTTGAAACTTTTGCTTGGTTTACATGTATTAGTTGGTGATTAGATCACTTCAAGGGGAACCATTAGCGGTAGGCCAATATTAATTGGTATGCAGTAGTATAAGCATTAGCACATCTCATTTCCATGAAGAATATTTTGCGCTGCCACCTCAGTCATTGTCTATTGACTTTGAAACTTTTGCTTAGTTTACATGTATTAGTTTGTGATTAGTTCAGTTTAAGATGAACCGCTAATGTTAAGTCAATGATATTTGGTATGCAAATTTATTGGCATTTGCAAGTCTTGTTTCCATGGAGATTATACAGCATCACCCCCTCATCATGGTCCATTGACTTTGAAACTTTTACATAGTTTACAAGTTAATGTTTGTGTTTAGGTTTGTTTAATGGAACAACTTATGATAAGTCAATGGTATTTGGTAGGCAGTTGTAATAGCATTGGCACATCTAATTTCCATGGAGATTGTTTAGCCATGTACCTTCAGTCATGGTTCATTCACTTCATTAACTTACATGTTAAAGTATTTCTATTCTAATTTCAACATTTGCATTATCAAAATTACAAAAAGTCGACGCATATCTCTGTGTTAACAGTTTATTTTTAAAGCCTGTTTGTCAAAAATAAATATGAGCTTTTGCTATCACTCGGCCTCCATCTAACCTGAACTTTTTTCCTCTGAATCTTTTAAAGCAATTTATAAGACTTCACATGATTGATACTTTAGATTTTTTAGATTAAAGTTTGTTAATACATGTATTATAAAGATCCAATAGTTGGTAATTGTCTAATATTTAAAAAAAAAGAGAGATTTTTTCACGGGTTTTAGAAGAACATGTAAAATTTCAAAAGGTGAACAATAATGAAAGCTGTCCCCAGATGTTTTCTGTTAATGAATAAAATGAGATGTGGGATATATTTCAATGAGACAGCAACCCAAAAACAAAAATAACTATAAGACATCTAGAAGGCAACCTACAGTCTTCAACAAAAGAGAGAGATTTTTGATAGACAGGTATCTTTATAACAATATGACAAGTTCTAAATCATGACAAGTCTTTAAAAATGAGAACAAATTTAGCAGAAATAATCAAAGATACCTATTAAGGACTAAAAGAGAGGCGAAAGATACCAAAGGGACATTCAAACTCCTAAGTCGAAAATTAACTGACAATGCCATGGCTAAAAAAGAAAAAGACAAACAGACAAACAATAGTACACAAAACACAACACAGAAAACTAAAGACTGAGCAACATGAACCCCACCAAAAACACGGGATGATCTCAGGTGCTCCGGAAGGGTAAGCAGATCCCGCTCCACATGAGGCACCCTTTGTGTCACATTCGGGGAAAAGGGGACTGAATTGTAGTTTCGACATTTGTATGCACCTGTCCTAAGTCAGGAGCCTGTTGTTCAGTGGTTGTCGTTTGTTGGTGTGGTTCATAGGTATTTCTCGTTTCTCGTTTTTTATATAGATTAGACCAGTGATTTTCCTGTTTGAATGGTTTTACACTTGTCATTTTGTGGCCCTTTATAGCTTGCTGTTTGGTGTGAGCCAAGGCTCCGTGTTGAAGGCCGTACTTTGACCTATATTTGTTTACCATTTATACATTGTGACTTAAATGGAGAGTTGTCTCATTGGTACTCATACCATATCTTTTTATTTATAATCACGTTTGTAAATAGTGAATAAACTCATCATAGGTACCAGGATTGAAATTTTGTATTTGTGCCAGACACACGTTTCGTCTACAAAAGTCTCATCAGTGACGCTCAAATCAAAAAAGTCAAAAAGGCCAAATAAAGTATGAAGTTGAAGAGCATTGAGGACCAAAAATTCCTAAATGTTTTGCCAAATACAAATTAGTTCCTGACATGGTCTTATTTATATGAAATAAAACTAGATCAGTACTTTGTGTCTTGAATTTTACAATTTGTTATTATATTGTGCTGTTACTCCACTGTCCCAGGTTTTGGGAGGGTGTTAAACCTGGACACATTTTGTATGTGTCTGTCCAAGTCATAATCCTGTAAATCAGGGGTTGTTGTCAGTCACTGATGACTATTAGTTGCTTACATCTACATTGTACGTCATTTGGTCTCTGGTAGATAGTTGTCTCATTAGCAATCATACCACATCTTATTTCAAACTCAATTTTTTTTTCAGGAAAGAAAATTATAATCTCAATTGCCGTTTTCTCTAATGAAATAAACTTTAGTTTCTGTCTCATTGTCTATTTTATCATTTTGGAATTAATTAAATGTTTCTAGCATTATTAAGACACAGAAGAAATATTCTTTGCTGTACATGCAGTATTTGATTCCGTTAATAGTTTTACGTATGAACTGTTTCATTAGGACTGACTACGATATGGGTTTTGCTCATCTTTGAATGCTGTACGGTGACCTTTAGTTTCTTACATTCACGCCATTTGAACTCTGGTGGAAAGTTGTCTCATTGACAATTACACCACACCTTATAATCTTATTTTAAATTCTTTTTTTTTCAGGTAAATGAATGAATATGGTCTATGGTAGATAGTTGTCTCTTTGGCAATTATTTCACCTCTTATTTTGAACTTATTTTTTTTTCAGGTAAATGGATGAATATGTGTGGATCGTGATCAACAGTATCGTTCTGTGATGACAGTTTTATTTATTTTTTGTACAGAAATAAAAACTATAAAAAACTGATCATTTTTTTCACATTTTGAAAATACCTGGCAGCTGCTTCTAACAGAAGGGTAATGCGTTGCCATTCGACGATCATACAAGCATTCCGAAAGACTTTATTGTTGTCCGATATTGAACAATTGTGTCAAAGGGTGTAATATTATATGGACATTTTGTTATTGTTGTATTTGAAATCAAACTATAATCTGTTTTTTTTAGAAAAAAATGATCAATTTGCACTCAGTTTAGGTTGCCATAGAAACACAATAGTCCCATATTTTATCAGTAGCAATCAGTTACTGTAAAATTTTGAAGTGTAAGTTTCGTAGAAGTAAGTTTGAAATAGTGCTGGTTTTATAAAACTTGTGCAGTCAGAGGTCAAAAGTGTTTCACCATTTTGAAAATTACGATATATACAATTTTTTTTTTATCAAAATCAGACCTCAAATTAGATCTTGACAATGTTTTAAAAAATGAGGTAATTTCTGAAAAGTGAAAGACTTTTTGACCTAAAAGCAATTGTTACCTGTTTTTAACAGATATGTACATACTTTTGTGGGAAAAGCTGTGTTGAAAAAGTTTTTAGTTAATACTGTTCCATGTGTTTACAGGTTTCTTTTTATTGTATGGAGTTTGTATGAATGTTGTATGACACTTACATGTATTTGAGTTCAAGGTGTTAAATTTTTTTTTGATACTTTTTGAAATGAAAATATACCATTTTTCAAATTTATATTCTGGGCTTGAATAAGGCTGTGCCTTAATTAGGAAACTTCAAAAAATATTTTAATGTATTTGTATATATACGAGTCATTTCCCAAACTTATTTTTATTTACAGTGCATTCTATAGAAAATTTATCACAGTTGTATATTTATGGATCAAAATTACTGTCATTCCATTTAGCACTCTCACTTATACTGTAGATGACCAAATGGCAGGGTTCAAATTACTTTGTTTACAGTTTTATATTGTTACTAACACTTTCCTAAGAACATTCCTACAACAAACACAGAATCTATTAATACCTACAAATCCAAAACATGGCAGAGTAGATATTTGAATAAGATATATTATCGTTCTATATATTATACATATGTTGACAATATTCCTTGATACACTCATAGTAAAAGACTTCATGTTTAATTTACCTCTTGAAATGCAAAAGATTTTATTCTTAACTTAATCAGATGGTTTAATATTTATTCTCATAAACTCATAAAATAGAAATACAGTTTCTTTAAAAGATTATTAAATTGGAGTATATGTACAAGTAAATTTTGCTCGTGTTGGCCTAATTTTGTTATTGTTCTTTGAACTCTAGAGTATTTGTAAGGGTAGTATGTATAATTGCTATTTTCTTTGATGTTTCTATATGAAAATTTTTCATCTCAAGATACTCAACTGACATGGGTTTTCTGAGCAAAGGAAATTGAGATTTATCAGATTATCTCTGATCGTTCAACTTTAGGAAGTTTTAAAGGTTACATCTCACATTAGGGCTATCTTCATTGGATGATATTGTAACCACTAAGGTCCCTTTCACATTTTCAGAACCAAAGCTAATTTTTCAATTACTGTCATTGTACCAGAATATTGTTTGTTATTTTTTGTTGTTATGATATACTTGTTTATATGTATATATGCATATATACATATTGAACAGTTTACAGTTAGTATATTTCTTTTTCTCTTGGGGTCATTTGAGAAATTCGGCATTTATAAATTTAAATTTGTCAGAATTATTTTTCATTTATATCATAGTGTTTTTTTCCAACAAAAAGAAGAATATTCATATATGAAATGAGCATAGTACATATATGATATATATAGCAACAGAAATCAGTACATAAAATTATATTACTTCGTCACACAAAAATGCAGTATTTCATTCCGTTTTTGAAATCCCTGAGAATAAGTGCTCATGATCGAACCAGTATTTATTTAAAATGAATTTTAAATAATTTTTCCTTTAAAAAAAACATAGGGCTGATATATGTTTCATTAATCATACCAATAAATTGGTTTTGGGATTTTCTTTGCATCGTTTCTTGGTCAGAAATCAGATTGACATTGTGTGTCTACAATGGACTATTATTATATTATTGTTGTTATATTATCTTATGTAGTGTGCTTGACAGTATAATATGGTATTTTGTACTGACTAATATTGTCCATTATTTATATTATCATGTGTCTTTACCCAGTGAGGACCATAACCTAGTTAACTTTGTACATTATAAATGTAATGTGTAGTTTATGAGAAACATACACCACATTCGAAAATACCGTTGAAAGCTCAAGATTGATACTATCGTATCTAAATTGTATTTTTGGCATCTGGTTCTCATTGTGAGACTAAACAAGATGCTCTATCGAGTCACTAGATGTTGAGCTCAGCAGAAAATTTGTTAACTAATCAGAAACAGAAAAAACTTGTTCGCGTTTACCATGACAATAGTTGGTGAAAAGTCCATTCATGTAGTTTGAAGTGTCGTCAGATAAATAAGATTCAATGGTATTTTCAAACACAATGTACTTTATCATGTTTATACATCCCAAAAGTTTTTTTGTATTTCTTCATTGTAGACAGATTTGAAATAAATTAACTCTTTGCACTTAAAAAGTCTTATTTACTGTGTGCCTTCTCACAAGCAAAAAGTGTAGGTCTTTGTTTTCTGGTGGCTCAGTTGTCTAAGTAGATAAACTTCTGTATCACTAGCTGTCAACACTGAGGTTGTTAGTTCAAACCCCACTCATGGCAGGTGCGTGCGACTCCAATCTTAATTGACTAGGATTGTCAATATTCCTGCTGAAGGATGCTGATTCTCTTCGGCCACTCCTCCTTTCTCCAACAGTAAAAACTGACCTCCATGATATAGCCAATAGTGCTGAAAATGTCGTTAAACAATCTTTGTTCTCTTGTTATCAGTCTACATAGTTACTTCCCTTTACATTATTCTACAAGGATTGTCTTCCTTTGGTTACTCCTTCTTCACTTAGTGCTTTATCATATTAGATATTTTGAATAGTCATCTATATCACAATATGAGGAGATCTATTTCTTTACGGGTAACTACCAGATGAAAATAATCAGTATGAACTTATTTCCAGAAACTAGCATACACTTTCAAGTTCTTCTTCACTTAATTTTGTTCAGATTATTTTCACAATTTTCGTTCTTTGTGCATCCATAAAAAAGATTGTATAATGTAATATTTTAATGCACTGATTTTGTATACTGGTCTGTGCTAGGTATTTTTTTATGCAATTTTTGTCTCGCCTACAATGAAAGTCGCAGAAGGTGAGACATAAGTGTTGCTTTTCTGGCTGCATCATTGTCAACAATTGTTAAGTTTTCTGCTTAAGTCAGTTTGCTAGGAACTAATTCTGATAGATCAATGATATTTTCTATAAATTTGTATTACTATCAGTACATATCAGTTTGACGACTTTTTCGAGGCCCTGCCCCCTAAGTCGAGGTCCAGCAACTTTAAATTAATTAGCAATGTTGCCGTCCATCAGATTATTTTTTTTATACCCCACGCAACGAGTTGCGGAGGGTATAATGTTTTTGACCCGTCCGTCTGTCTTTCCGTCTGTCCGTCCGTCAGTCCTATTTCTTGTCATCGCAACTCCTCTCAAACCACAACAGAATTTCAGATAATAAGGACATACTATGTAGTTGTGCATATCGACAGGAAATTACGATTCAATTTTTTTTCTAGGAGTTACGCCCCTTTGAACTTATTTACTTTAATGTACTACTGCAACAGTTTCATCGCAACTCCTCTCAAACCACACAACAGAATTTCATGAAACCTTTTCAGATAATAAGGACATACTATGTAGTTGTGCATATCGACAGGAAATTACGATGCAATTTTTCCCAGGAGTTATGCCCCTTTGAACTTATTTGCCCAATATACTACTGCAACCTTTTGTCATCACAACTCCTCTCAAACCACACAACAGAATTTCATGAAACCTTTTCAGATAATAAGGACATACAACGTAAATGTGCATATCGACAGGAAATTAAGATTCAATTTTTTTTCCAGGAGTTACGCCCAATTGAACTTATTTGCTTTAATGTACTACTGCAACAGTTTGTAATCACAACTCCTCTGAAACCACACAACAGAATTTCATGAAACCTTTTTAGATAATAAGGACATACTATGTTGTTGTGCATATCGACAGGAAATTAATATTCATTTTTTTTCTTAGTGTTACGCCCCTTTGAACTTATTTGCTTCAATGTACTACTGCAACAGTTTGTCATTGCAACTCTTCTGAAACCACACAACAGAATTTCATGATACTTTGTAGATAATAAGGACATACTACGTAAATGTGCATATCGACAGGAAATTATGATTCAATTTTTTTTCTAGGAGTTATGCCCCTTTGAACTTATTTGCTTCAATGTAATTTTGCAACAGTTTGTCATCACAACTCCTCTGAAACAACACAACAGAATTTCCTGAAACTTTGTAGATAAGAAGGACATACTATGTAGATTTGCATATTGACAGGAAATTATGATTCATTTTTTTTTTTCTTATACAATTTTTATACGACCGCAAAATTTTTTTGCGGTCGTATATTGATATGACGTTGGCGTCGTCGTCCGAAGACACATTGGTTTTCGCACTCTAACTTTAGTTTAAGTGAATGGATCTCTATGAAATTTTACCATAAGGTTCAATACCAAAAAAAGGAAGGTGGGGATTGATTGGTTATGGTACTAACAGTTAAGGAATTAGGGGCCAAAAATAAGCATTTTTGTAACTTCCAGACATAACTTGTTTGTTAGTGTATGGATCTCTCTGACATTGTACCACAAGGTTCCATATCACAAAGGAAATGCTGGGATTGATTTTGGGGGTAATTGCCTCAAAATTTTAGGAATTAGGGGCCAAAAAAGGGGCAAAAAACAAGCATTTTTCTAGTTTCATGACAATAACTTGTGTGTAAGTGTATGGATCTTTCTGAAATTGAACTACAAGTTTCCATATCACAAAGGGAAAGCTGGAATTGAGTTTGGGGGTAATTGCCCAAAACGTTTAGGAATAAGGGGCCAAAAAGGGGCCAAAAATAGCATTTTTCTAGTTTCCAGACAATTACTTGTGTTCAAGTGTATGGATCTCTCTGAAATTGTACTGCAAGGGACCATACCACAAAGGGAAGGCTGGGATTGAGTTTGGGGGTGATGAATCATAAGGGGGTTCAAAAAATTTTGGGGGGGGATTTATCTAAATGTTCTGCTGACATGGGAGACATATCTCTTTGTCAAAAAAAATAAATAAACTTACTTAGAAAATGTTATAAATAGGGACTGGTTTTTGTCTTGCCTGTGACAAAAGTCGCAATATGCGAGACATAGGGATTACTATTACTTGGCGGTTATGGCGGTGATATAAACTATTTGTTGAAAGCTTTATATTTCAGAAGGTAGAAGACCTGGATGCCTTTATACCTTGTACGCAGATACCTTGTGGTACATAATTTCATGGATCAGTGATCAAGGTTAAAGTTACATGATTAGGTTCGTTCCTCAAATACTATAAGCAGTAGGTTATCTATATGTGGTGTATGAAATGATTGTAAGGGGTATAGGTCAATCTGGCAGGTTTCTTCTGACAAACTCATTTTCATGGTTCATTGGTCAATGTTAAGGTTTTGTGTTTTGGTCTATTTTTCAAGAACTAAAAGCAATTATAGGTCAACTATATTTGGTGTATGGAATGATTGTAAGGTGAACATGTCTATCTGGCAGGTATCATATGACCTTGACCTCATTTATGGTTCATTGGTCAATATTAAGTTTTTTTGTTTTGATCTGTTTTTTTTCAATTACCATAAGCAATAGGTCAACTATATTTGGTGTATGGAATTATTGCAAGGTGTACATGTCTGTCTGACAGGATTTTTCTGACCTTGACCTCATTCTCATAGATCTTTAAATATGTTAAGTTTATGTAATACTTTTAGTAAAACCTTTATCTTTATAAGACATCCAATAGTTATTAAATGACATAAGAAAAGGGCTGTTAACCAACTGAATTCAGTGATATTTTTGTCTCGCCTGGGACAACAGTTGCAGAATACAAGGCAAAGGAATAAGTATCCGACGGTGTCAGCTATGTAAACTATTTGTATAAAGCTTTGTATTTAAGACGTAGGAGAATGTTAAATCTTAGCAAAACTAAGAAGTCAGAGGGTAATGAAAACTATATTGTCAAAGAAGAACAAACAACGCCATGCCCCGGGCACCACGCACACATTATAACAGGCAAACAGTACACAAACACAATACAGTCAATAAACTTATTCAAGACTGAGCAACAAATACTTGGTCTGAACTCAGATGTTCTGGAGAGCTAATCAGTTTCTGCTCAACTAGTGTCACCTATCCTGTCAAATACATACACGCGGGGGACCTTCATTTCTGTATTCTATTTTTTTGTCTATTTTTCTTTATTCTGTAAACCCCCATCCACAGCCTCATACACAGATATAGTTATAGAATACGTCCATTTGAAGCACGTTTTGCTAGGTTTTTTTGTGTGTCTTTTTTGTTTGTTTTGTTGCGTTTTAGCGTAGCATTACGTTTGTTTCATTTCAGTTTGTTATCATTTTTCTTTGGTTATTGTTCATTTTTGTGGTACAATTTCAGATTCAAAATATGTTTAGCCCCTTCATGAAATAATGATATACCTCAGATGCAGTAGGATAGTACAACAAGACAAACAACAGTCTACAAAGCACAACATAGAGAACCGACGACTGAGCAACAAGAACCCCACAAAAAACTGGGGGTGATCTCAGGTGCTAAGAAAGGGTAAGCATATCCTACTCCACATGTGACATCCGTCAATAGACATAACAATGTAGACGTATAACAATTTCGCTCTTTTTGTGTTTGAACAGAACAATTGGTCGTTTCTGCTTTAGATTAAGCATGTTAATGTTTCATTTTTATTTCACGCTTAATCGAGGGTCCCCATAGTTTACGAGTTAAAAACAATTCTATTGCCAGACTCAAATATGCATATTTTATAAATGACCCTTAGATTAAACAAAAATGTCATTCAATTCTTTTAAAAAGTATAACCAAAATTACGAACTCCAAAGGGAAATTAAAAAAAAAGTATCCATAAAAACAGACAAAAGCAAACGTTATCAACCAATGGAACGAGTGAAGAACAACTGTCATATTGGTCTCAACATGAAATGTTTGGTATAGACGTGCAGCTGGGATTTCAAAAACAGCCCCACTCATATGATTATTAAAGTCTTGTGAATAGTACGACCAATAAACTTATTTCATCGCAAAATCATAACCAATTCCCATATTTCTCAGTTATCATATATACCTTTACATGGGAAGACCCCCCCCCCCCCCTTCCCCCGGTGCATATTCCTGGGTTAAATCTAGTTTCATAGCTGGCTAAACCTCTATCTTGTATGCCAGTTGTTTGAAGTTCCGTTATACTGACAAAATTTGGTGAACAACCCAAACAGACATACCAGGTTAATGTGACACTTATACTCAGAGCAGGCATATAAAACATCGCCAACATCATAGTAAACAAACACATTTTATTGATAAACGAAACAAAAAGTCACATATTACAGTACTGAATCTAAACAATATATTTACATATATAATGTTTTCTGATCAATTACAATGTAAGAGGGTTAACTGTTATTTAGATTTAACAACAACTCAATAACATAAACGGTACCAATTTTACTGCACTAGATGTGCATTTCGACTTTTAATGTCTCTTCAGTATGCTCGGGCCAAATATTTGAAAAGTCAAAAAATGATACAAATTATTGAAGAGCTGATCAAACCAAAACAGCTCTAAAGCAAAGCCAAACCAGGACAAGTAAACAGAGCTATGCATAAGGTAAATATATTCCTTAATCTAAAAGGATTTAAACATTTGAGCTGCATCGGATAGAAATCGACCTTATGCAAATGGATATCAATACATCTGGTAACCTTTTACGGGTGGAACAAAATCTCTTTGCAAGGTATTAACTGAAAATTGAGTTGATGTAAGAACCCTACCAGACCAAAATTCATCTTTTATTTCGAATTTGAATGTTCCAAAATCAATCAAAGTCTTATACATGTACATGCAACTTGCATAAGGTCTATTTCTATCCGACGCAGCTCATTTTATAACAGCAAATGTAGATAAAACAATTTTATCGTATGTTCATGCCAGTACCGAAGTACTGGCTACCAGGTCAAACAAAGATTACTTTACTTTAGGTTAATAATACCTTCGGAGACTACTGGTCAACAAAAAGAGGTATCGATCTCAACATATCAAACAGTATATAGTCCCTAGTGTGGACAGTGTGTTACTTGTTGATTTTTTTTATACCCCTTCCAAATTTATTTCTCCATGTTTTATGACTCAAATAGTAAGTAGGGGGGTGAAATGACACTGTAAAAAAAATTGGGTCATGAATTTTTAAGTAAAGTAGTGATTTGGTCCAGCTGAAAAATGTTAAAAATTAGCACTTCGGAAGCTGTCAAAAAATTTGAAGACCCCCTTAAAATGAAATTATCCATATTTTGAGTTAGAGCCGATGAAGTTTTCTATAAATTTGATATAATTTGTCCCAAAAGTAGTACAACACACTGTAAAAATATTATTGAGAAAGCGCAGGTGGGATTTTTTTAATTTTCATTTATTGTCTAAAAGAAATGCACTACGAAATAACTGTGTACTCGGACCATTATAATTGTCTTGATCGTCTTAGGTTCCAATCTACACAAATCCCACGAAGTCAACGAAAATTACCAATTTATCTGCTCTTCCTATAACTATGTGCCGAGTGTATTATATTTACGATTGAAGAAGGTCCAAATTGCAAGGTGAGGAAGTTTATTTAACCATGCAGTGTCGTTTTTTTTAGGTTATCAAAATAAGTAATTTGGAAAAAAAACCTTTAAAGATCTTCTTTGCTACATGGAAGAAATAGCATTTTCAGAAATTAGACAACTTATTGAAAATTTTTGATTTCTCTGCATTTTACACCTACTGAAAACTATAAAAATAAGGAGATGTGGTATGATTCCCAATGAAACAAACTATCCACCAAAGGTTGAAGTGGATGTAAGCAATTATAGGCAACCGTACGGCCTTCAAGAATGAGAAAAACCCGTACCGTATTGTCGGCAACGTATCATAACATCATATTATTCACAAGCTATAATTTGTCAATTCATGTCCCGTGCATCGATTTTAAAAAGCAATGTTGGGCGAAATATTTGCAAGATTTTAAATTTTATATTCACAGTACGAATTTGAAATAAATAAAAATAAATAAATACATAAATCAGTAAAGGAGATGTCAAATGATCATTATCAAAAGGTGTCACAGCTTTTGAGAAATATGATGTTATAACCTTTTCATATAGCTCAATAAAATTGAGAATGGAAATGGGGAATGTGTCAAAGAGACAACAACTCGTCCAAAGAGCAGAACACAGCACAAGGCCACCAATGGGTCTTCAACACAGTGAGATTATACCGCACCGTGGGCTTCAGTTGGCCCCTAAACAACAATGTATTTATTCTGCGAAAATGGACGTCACACTAAATACATGTTTTCATCGGGAACCTGTAATGTGCAAAACGAAACAAAATAAAACGAAATGGAATAAAAAAAAATCAACGGTCTGCTAATACCATCTGATTTTACACAATGGTTTATACTGTGTAAACCTTGTTCTTTAGGAAGACTTGAGCGACTCTTTTTACAAAAAAAATCTTACGATTAAATTGATCGTAAGTTATACTTAAATGTATATGACTTTATATAATACGAGTATTTTTACTCTTAAGATTTCTTTAATCATTATTTTTAGTGAGACAAACAATTTGAAGTTTGGGAGTCCAAGGCCTCGTTGCAGTTCAAAGTCCACAAAAAATACGGCTTACGAGTGGATGGATCAAGAGTCAAACCGGCGTCGCAAAAGATTTTTTCAGCATTTACAGTTTTAAAAAGTAATCTTGTAAAGAGATTTGCTTGATTAGTTATTGTTTGTTTTACGTTAATTGACAGCTATCGCATGCATATTCATGACAAGAATAATAATAGTCAAATGTATCGGTTCTGCAGAATAAGTCGGCCAGGATATATTACAAGAACTTTTACGGCAACTGGTAAAGATGGGCATTTATACAGGGAAACAGTAATGACCACTTTCCGACCGCTAGGAGTTGTTACAATGGTTTCCTTAGCGTGGCTGCCTCTCTACACGAGACATCGGATGTTTTGTCCTCGTTCCGACCGGACGTAGCTGTTAATTTATAAATCCCGCACAGCCAAACTGCAGGCCGGATTATAGAAGGATAGGAATAGAAGAACAGTTGAATCATATGGGAATGTCCACTTCTAATGAAAAACATGCCAACTAAACTAAACAAATCTGTTGTCGGTAGTAACCACTCTACAGTACGGAACACACGCGGTACATTAGTCCTCTCGTTTTACTTTTCTATTTTGTTTCCTTGGTTAATTATTGGACAAGGCAGCTGCCTCACTACCTCAATGGAAGAAGCATCGTCCCTGTATATACATGTATTTGCATTGTATCGAATTTGTCGTTTGTCCGAAAAAAACAAACAAAAAACGGTCACACTTTTGTATTAGTCTAAAGTCTTTTACGAAAAACGACTATACAGAGAATGTGGGATACACAGTAATATGAAATGAGGGTGTGTATGAGGTTTACAGAATAGAGAATATTGGACAAAAAGTACAAAAAAGGCTAGAAAATACAAAGAATGCAGAAAAATAGGACAAAAAATAAAGAATAGAGAATAATGGGCAAAAAATATAAAGAATAGAGAAAAAATTACCTAAAAAATTAAAGTATACTGAAATGAAGGATCCCCTATCCAGACCCTCAAATATCTGTTTTTAGTCATTGTGAAAATTCAGATAATACAGCATTTCCCTAACCTTTAAGAATGAAACTTTTTCACTCTAAACAAAATGATACAAATTGTTTGAGTTCGTTTCGTTTCGGTCAATTTCGGTTTGTTTCATCGAATGTCAACTTGTTTGGTCGATTTTTTCCTCCGTTTTGAAATTTGTTTCCTTCGTACTATTTCTATTTCGTGTCGCACTTTACAGGTATCCCTTCTTATCGATCCATGAAAGTATATTAACCAAGGACAAATTTGACTTCGGACTGCATCCTCAGTTGATATACTGTAATATACATCGGGTTGATGAAAACTTATATTTGCTTCTTACAATGCTTCGTCAAAGGTCTACAAATGTATGTTTACTATAACAAAAAGTCAGAGATATAAATGCAAGAAAAAAACTGGTTACAAAGCTTGGTTGCACTAAGAACAAGTTAAAATGATAATACTCTTGAATATCTAATTGTTAAACAACCATAGAATAATGTGCAAAACCAATACCGTATATATGTATACAATGTAGTAAGCTATAAAAGTTCCTGACATGACAAAGTCTGAAACAATTCAAACGAGAAACAGCCTGATTTATATAATAAAACAATAAACGAAAAACATATATGATAGATTTACAGGTTCTGACTTGAGACATGTGGCTGGGTCAAAAGGGTTTGCACGAGTTAAAAAATCCCTTTTATACGGGACGGTGTTGTAACTGCACAACATAAGAACTTATGAAACTCTTCAGTTAAAATTCAGATCTATCGCAACTCGCTTAGTCGTATGAACATAACAAAATCAGAGCTCTATATCCTAATGAGACTGTTAATCTATAAAAATAGCCTTTAAAATATAATTATATCCTGGATATAGAAAACTATAGACAGGTTTATTCACTTTTGTTTTTACACACGCATGTAAAGTGATCTTATTGACTATCAACGAGTTATTTTGGCACTATAACTAAAAATAAAAGACAAATCCGATGACAAAAACAATTATGACCACATTGGTCACGCAAAATCAATTCTCAACTTTAATAGCTATCGAATGAAACCCTTGAAAATGAAAATAGATCGGCCAAACCCGCCCGTTCTTTATGGCTTACAAATGTCTAAATATACAAAGCCGGCCATAGCTCAAAAAGTTCATGCTGGATGTACAAAAGTTTAACCAAGAATCTGAGATATATGGAGAATTTATTTATTGATATTCAGGAAGATAGTAACTCCTGGTTCCACGTTTAAATTCTGCGTGGCAGAAATATTCCCTTGAATCGACAAAAAAGTTCAATACTCCACAACTCTTTAACCAAATACGAATAAAAGTTAAACATTTTGCATTGTCAGCGGATGACGAGTAAATATAGAGCTCTTACTTTATCAGGATTATCTATCCAGGGTATTTTAAGAGATAGGTTATGCATAGATGGTTAAGTAAAAAACTGTGAGACTGGAGACGGAATTAAGTACTAAGCAAAATATTAGATAAACCCATACATAGATACCTTGAATGATATTATGCCAAAATCTGTCATTCTTGTCAACAAAAAATTAATAATATTACAACTGCAACAAATAGTTTTCTAGTTGCAATGAACAATGTGCCGTAAATGTTTATAAAAAGGCCATGTTATGCAAGATCGTCAAAATGATTGGGTGTGCATGTCTGGTTTTAGAAGTGGGGGAAAAAGGATGGATTGCAAAAAGACTTCTCTAAAAATGTGAATGTGACAAAAAAAAAAGAACATACATATATATATAGCAAAGAACCACAAATAGACATCTTTACACAATGATATTAGCGGCACTAATGTAAAAGTTCAGGAGACAAAGATAGACAAACAATGAGACACACAACAAATATGGTTGACAATGATACTTCTGACGTGTTATTATTGTAATCACTTGAACATCTTTACGATTTGTAGAACAGATATTTTCATAGGCAAACACAAGCAACCATGACACAAATGAATTTATTAAAGAAAATAGAATTTGAATTCCTACTGCTGGGAGATATTTTAAGTAGAAGACCATTATATATCTATATATTTTTGGGGAAAAGGGGGGAGGGGGGGGTGTTTTTACTATTCATTATTCATTTTCATCCGTTGCTACATATGCTTATTTTTTCCGAGGAAAATTTATGAGCATTTTTGTACACAAATATTTCCTGCATTTTGTGCTGCAGAATATTCATTTTCACCCTGTCTTATGCAAGATTATTCATTTCAGTTTGTTCAGGTCAGGATATTCATTTTCAAAATCCTCACCTGTAATATAGATCTAATATTAATTGTTCCTAATTTTACAGAGATTATATATAAATTAAACCGGCGACCATTTATCATAATGATAATCTAAGTGATCGTTTGGTTTTTAAAAAGGCTAGCCGGACGAATAGTACCAGGACTATTTGTCCGGCCAGTTCAATGCACATGTCTGTGAGTGTGAAATATTATCTTCTGCAGCACCAGGGTGTGGCAAATTATATATATGGACATCTATAAAGCAATGTTTTGTAATCTTAAATTGTTAGGCCCCAATTTTGTTACGGGTAATTGAAATGGTTGTTTTCTTCAAATAAAGTCCAATGTGGTCAATGTATATTAGAAAAAAAAATCATATATATTCAATGTTATATCTATATCTATTGCTTCACATTGCAAAAAGATGGAGGAAATTACTTGTAAACCAAACTTGGGTCGCGATTGGCTCATGCATTTTAGATTAAGTTAACGTAAGGATTTTCTTGTTGAAAAAGGTACAAAATTATCATGTCTGAGACTTTCAAACAGATCGAGTTATAAATCCCCTTAACATAAAGTTGTCCATATTTTGAGTTAGGGGTGATGAGAGGGTTGGGGTAACACGTGGCGTTCCTTCAGTTTCCAAATCCCTCTTTTCTTTTTACCCAGATCCCACCTTTATTGTCCACTATATTTCATATCCCCACTTTTTATAATCCTATATCCCACATCCCCCACTTTTTTTAAGTTATACTATCGTATTCCCTTGTCAAATTCTGAAAACTGGAAAATTATCACAAATATTAATATCCCCGTTTTCAGCCATGAATCAGTGATCGGATTACACGCGACCCCTGGTGCTGCTGAAGATAATATTACACTCACTTTCATACGCACATAAAATGACATGCGCATTGCAATAGCCGGACAAATAGCCCTAGCACTATTCGTCCGGCTAGCCGGACAAATAGCCACTCCGTTTTAAAAAAGATGTGTCAAGAAAAGGGTGTGCTTTTGAAAACTGAGTAAATCTCTCCTAGAACAAAAAAATCAATCTGAATATATTAACTTTTGTCACAAAAATAGAGAAATAGACCGTTGGATTCATTGGGACGTGTTTAAACCCGAAATTTAAAGAACTCGCATTTATCCTTGTATCTATGATGAGTTTATTTTAAATATTGTAGATCAACAGCTAGTCAAAAGAGGGGTCATTTGAGTATATATTACATTTGTTTAAATGGTCGCACCAAAGACTAAGAATATAAATTAATAAAATTATTAACGGGAAGGCCATTGTTGCACAAATTCGTGTTCTAGGAAAATGGATTGCCTAGTACGGAGACAAAAATGTAGGCTTTGAAAAGCAAATGCATATATAAATAAGTTATTATAGTTGACACTAAACAATTATGATCTAAATAATGAAAATGTGATACATGAAATTAAACAATATTTTGAAATAATCTTCTTCATCACAAAGCCGAATGGAACATTATCAAAAAAAAATAGAAAAAAAAATAAATGATGACGATCATTTTGATGTGTGATGGACCAGTTACGATAAGTTAATGTTCAAAAATCTAAAGCTATAAAAATATCAAATTGAATAAATATCAAAGTCTAGACAATTTAGCAATATAACTTTGCAACATGTTAAGGGAGAAATTATGTAATGCACATGTATATAAAAGCCACGAAGAAAATTTATTGACATACTCGCAACGATCTAGTGTTTTGTCGTTGGTATAAAAAAAAAGTGGGAACATGTTAAAATGAGAAAATTTTGTTATTTTAAAACAGGTATTAGCTTCCAGTTTGACAGCATAAGTTGAGAATAATTAAAGCACGTTTTTTTATTGGTCCAAACATTTAATATAAGAACAATTCTCCTTCAGCAGTCAGTTTGGATCATTTTTTTTTTCGAAATAAGTTAACACAAATCAGTAATACCTTACAAGACAATAATTTCATCTCATTTGCATCTGTCTACATGCGCCGATATTTGACTTATGTTTGAGATTGCTTGCGCATGTGACTAATATGTTTAGTTATTGAAAATAATGTCAGCTGAAAAAAACCAACTGAAACTAAACGACTGGTTTTGTTGACTAAATCGGTCTTCAAAAATCATTCGTTGAAGATTACAAGTAAAACGAAGATGATCCTGATTAATTCATATACGTAAATGAAATGAATTCGAACAGAATTAAGACAATCGTCATTATAATATTGCACACGATTATAATATTGCACACGCTTATAATATTGCACACGCTATTAATTTTTATCTGGTTATATTTATATATTTATTTTCACTTCGGGTCACATGCCCATCGTACACGAAGGTCATGACGATGATTAATAAGATGGATTACAGTCCAAAATGATGACAATTTCAAGCGATTTATTGTATTTTTTACTGTTTCCTATGGCAATTTGATTTGTAATTTTATCATGCGTTATGGTACCACATAAATCAAATTTGAAATTTTGAGTCAATTTGATTGACATGAATTCGGCAGCTAATCCCATTTCAGTTCTACCTAATGTACTAACCCAAAGATTGAAAAACTGTTAGCAAAAGACCAATCTTGTTACATCAAAGTTTATTCACTAGTTCAAATCTCAAAATGCTTTGTCTATCTTGAATGAAAATGTTTTGTTAGCAACGTATACTTTATACCACTTTGGATTCAATGAATCATTTCATGAATCGGGTAACAACTTTGTATAATGACATTCAGACATGATTTATAATTAATTGATGGGTTGATTTAAAAAATGACTATCAAAAATTAATAATTTAATAGGAAAATACATATCAGTAGAACGTAAGCATATACTATGAATATGGACTATAAGTTAAGCAATATCTACAAAGTATTCCAAAGGTTAATAAAAATGTATCAAAAGCTCAAAAACCCAAATAATTTTGGAAATAAATACAGCGAATTTGACCACAAAAGTCATCGCTAATTTGATACATGTAAATGACATAATAGCTCTAAATAGGAAAATTTCACAAGATGAAAATAGAAAACAAAATAAAACAAATGTGGTAGCTGAGTTTTCATTATTAGGAAATGCATTCACAAGGGAAAGGATAAAATGTCAGATCCGAAAATTCCATGAAAATGGTGTCATAACATGAATGGTACCAGTTTTACTCTAAATGCCAAAATAATTGTTTAATATCTCTTTTATCAAATGAGTCGTTACATGATAACGTATCAAAACAATAGTAAAACCGATTGTTAGAAATATATGGTTGAATTTGTTACCATTACAAACAGAACTTCATTCGAAATCATTGTACAATTCTATTGTATTATTTAGAATAATTTGAAAATGCTTTAGTGGAAGCTCGTAAAAATATATTACCAAAACAATTTTGTTTACTAGATAGATGGTAACACACAATGATTTATGTAACAAATGCTATATATTTAAGTATCGAAGCAATGACTACAAATCTGATGATGAATTCGGGGACTAACAGTCCACTTGTAAGATCTAGTAATAGTATTGACAAATTGTTAGACAATAGACATTTACGTGTATATCTTGGTTTTCGATATATATGCACGTTAACAACCAAGCCAAACCAAGCAAACCTTTGAGGACAAAACATATCTTTTTGAATTTATTGTTCTCAAAACGACTTGCAAGAGGCATACTACAAATAATATGCTTCAAATCAAAAGAATAATACTATTGTAAAGACTAAAACAGTTTTCTGTAAACATTAACGAGTCCTTCACCTCCAGCAACATAGAGCAACCCTTGGTATGAACTGAAATTGATAATTGAAGGATTCACTAGATCATCCAAACATCCATGTACTGCTTTGTGCTTCCCTTCGACAGCAACGTGTTGCAATATTCCATTCGTACAAGTTATATACATAGTTCCATTCGGTAACATTGTGGCTTTACTCGGTTCACCCGGAATTCTACGCTTTGAAAATTTCATGTAGTTTTTCGAGTTTTTCGATATTTTGCAGCAAAAAAGTTTATTCTTGTTTGTCAAAAATAATCTGTTTTCTGTCGCACAAAGTACGCCGAGTTTAGACACTTCAATTTTGTGAGGCTTAATTTTACAAGTCTCTGTATTAACGAAAACAAGCCCAAATTCATCAACAGTAACAAGTAGATATTCATTGAGTTTGGCAATACAATAACAGGGGCCTTCTGTTAAAACAATTGAAACAATTTCATTTTTGTTGTCTACGTCATAAATATGAATCGAATTCTCTGTCTCGGAGTTTGCGTCTTTGTGCAATGTAACAGCTACTTTTTTGTGGTCAATAGCTACAACATGCCACGGTTTTCCTTTCAAGTGAGTAGTTATATTATGATCAAATTTTGAGTCAAATACTACTAACTTCTTCTCTATGAAGGAAACTAAAACTAGTGTACCGTCATTCATAAACACGCCCCCGGTTGGCTCTTCGATGACATCTTCATATTTCAGAATAACTTGTTTTTCCAGAACAAATAATTTTTGTCCAAGTTTTGTACCTGTAAAATAAAAACATGCCATTTGTTTTCAAAATGTTTATTATTGGAATATCGATAATTTGTTTGTTCATCACATGCTTAAAGGAGGATAAAAAGCTCGCTTTAGGTCTATTTTATTAAGATTTTTCTAATATTTTAATTGTGTCAATGAATGCAGCAACTTAGACATTCGAAGATACCCTCGAAGAAAAGTGTTCCGTCTTTGTTGCCTCAAATTTATGAAATCACTTCTTTTCAATTCGTAATTTTCTTTTCTAGAGGTTCTCGGTTTATTACAATTTGAACAATTATGAAAAAAAAAACATTTTCTTTCCAACAATATCTAGCAGTAGGTTTGTTATAAATTGCCAGTAATAAATGTTTTTTTTTTGAAGAAAGAAGTGTCCTGATATCCTAAGCATATGAAAATGAAATGGAGGTATCATGTAATATAGTATAGTAGACAACTGCATGTACATTTAAATCGTTATTACATTTCTATTTTGTAATTGCAGGTTTGAATAAAAACATCACTAAGTAAACAATTTTTTATCATATTTTATTACATGAAACTAGAAGTCAATTGACAATTTCAGGGCTTGTATGAGAACAAGGTACATTCCCAGTTAATCTTATACTACTAAATTGACAACTGTTGTATTCACTTTAAATTCGGGTTCAATTGTAACATATTTTACAAAAGGTAGAAACTAAAGATTTTGAATAACCTGTATGTAATTTTAAAATGTAGGTTTAAGTGATAAACGTTTGGTTGGGTAAGATGATGCTGTGTCTTGATATATGCATCATATTACCAAGTTGTATCAACTCGCATGAGTTTACTAGCAAACTGTCAGACGAACTTGCTTTAAAGACTGTCTTTATATGGCGAAATTAGACGTAGTTGTAAAAAAAAATATAAAAAAATATAAAAAAAAATAAATTCGGTAGATGTTATAGAAATCAAAAGTAAAAATATTTATTAATCAAGCAATATTTGGTGTCTGATTAATTATTGCAGTGATCGTTTCTCCACAATTGTAAAAATACTTGCACTGTTGTAAACAAAAACGAATACCAACAATAACAATTTAATATTGACTGAAGTTCAAAGGAATTAGATATGTAATTATCTTATATTCTTTAATATTCCTGAAACAACAGATGAAATCTGTTCTGAAGCAATCAACGCTTTTTTTTTATTAGACCTGATCGACCACACATTTAAATAATGTGTAGTCGATCAGGTCTAATAAAAGAAGACAATAGAAATACGGAATGAAAAAAAAAACAAACAAAAAAGCAATGAATGACTTGATCCAACGGATGCGAATAGACAATCACATGTCAATGCTAGAAACCGATTTGACAGGACAAAACGTCAAGCCCAGGTAAATTTTAAACGGCGAAAGTGCATCGAACTTTGTGACATTGCAAAAACTTTCGAATGTAAGGCCTACGAGTAGAATACTATGCACACTTAAAAATGATGTGATTAAAAAACATTTTGATAAAATTCTTGGCGAAAATCCATCCCCATTCTTTGTAACAAAGTACTATTGAACTTAATAAGTAATGAACATAATAAAAATTAGAATTATGATAAAGTGCGGGTAAAGACAAAATTACAACCGAAATGTTTTCTAAAAGTCAAATATTGTTTGCTCCAATTTTAAAGGGGCTACTTTTGATATTGTTATTGCTGATCCTAAGAGTGGACTTTTGACCGACTTAAATAACTATCGACCCACTTTAATAACTATCGACCAATCGTTTTGATGAGTGTCTTATCCAAACTGTTCACGTCTAAGTAGGCAAAGGTGCGGGTAATGATAAATTTATCAGCAAAATGCCTTATGCAGGTCCAATATTGTTTGCTTCAATTTTAAAGAAACTATACTTTTGATAGTGGAACTTTTCCTGATACCTGAATGATATTGTTATTGCTGTTTCTAAGAGCGGAAATTTTACCGACCCAAATAACTAACGACCCATCGTTTTAGTGAGGGTCTTATCCAAACTGTTCGCGTCTATCCTGACGACTCGATTACTTGTATGGTCCGAAAGCGAAGATAAATTGATCGACAATCAATTTGATTTCCGTCAAGGACATTGAACTATTGATTCTTATTGTTATCAACGTGGTATAATTGTACATATTCTTCCACAAAAAAATAAAACCGTTACGGTACTGCACTTTCATGGACTGTTGAAAAGCGTTCGACAAGTTAAACAGGAGTAGTTTGAAATATAAATTACTTCGAAATAGAGGCAGCAGTAACTATGTGACCTTTATTAAATCTATTTATGCTTCTATACGTTTCTGCGTAAGATCCGATGGACTTTTATCTGATGCAATTAAAAAACTTGTTAGGAGTAAAACAAGGTGAACATTTATCTCCTTCGTTATTTCTCTATATTTATTAATCATATTATTGAAGATAAATCTTTAACAAATAATGAAGATATAGTGAAACTTATTTGATTTTAATCTATTTGATACTTTTTGCAGACGATACTGTCTTGTTTGCCAAGTCTCCCGAGCTTCTCCAATAGTTACTTGACAATGTATCCAACTATTGTAGAAAATGAAACATGGAAGTTGACACTGATATATAAATAAAACTGAAGTTGATGTATTCAGAAATGGATGTTAAACTGTAAATGATCGTTTCATATATAATAATCATAAACTTGAAATGGTTAATTCCTACGCTTTCTTGGAATGTTGATACACTCAAACGAGAAATTCTTATACATACAAAAACGCCTGTCTCAACAAAGATCAATAGCTCTCTCATCACTATTAAACTGCTAAATAATATGCATATTACTACACATCAACAGTGTCTTCTGTACGACAGTATGATTGGATAGGTACTGAACTGGTACTTAGCCGTTCCAACGAAGAGATTATTTATAACAGTTTTTTAGGATTGTTTGAAAGTAGGTAAACGTGGTCCTATTAATTTTGAAGAAAACAATTGATCTTAAAGTATTGGTTTCGTATTTTGTTTATGATGTATAGAAAATTTTGTATGACGATGGAAATCAAGGTAAAATGTATTGGGCATCTAATGTACATGATTTGTTATTTAGTTTTGGAATGAACTATTATTCTGGAATGGCCAGAATAATAGTCATATATCGTTTGATGTTATTAAAAAACTAATAAATGAAAGACTAATATCTGCAAAAATGGTCAGCAGATTTATACGATTTTGAGAAATAAAGAGTATATCGATATATAAATTATGACTTTAGTTTTGAGAATTATTCAAGCTACATACACAATGTTCAGATTCTTTCAAAACTACGAAGTGATATATTGAAACTAAATGTTGAACTACAAGAACATGCGATGTGTTGAAAAAGAATTCCATTTTGTATTGGTATGTACAGCACACATAACAATCAGAAGTAATTTTTGCCACATGATTGTTCCTGGCCGAACACTTTTAAATCACCATGTTTATTGCAAGCTATTTCTAGATCAATTACTATTAAGTTATGTAACTATTTGAAAAATAAATGGAAAGCTAGATCTGATATGATTAGTTAGTTATATTATTATTTATAATTCTCTGCTTTCAGTATTTTGCCACATTGTGTATATATTTTGTAGTGCCATAGTAAATCATGTATGCTCTTGCAAATATTCATTCATTCATTCATTCATTCAGATAACCAAGCTATCACACTTTAACACAACATTTAACAAAACTTTCAATTTTTAACAGTGAGAAAAGGCGCGTCTCTTAACATATTGTTTTGTCTAAAAATTGAAAAATCATAACCCTGTTTGTTTACAATGTGCGTTAATTTGAGAACAACACTCACCATGTATCTACTATACACAGTTTCCACGTGTTTGCTTTTAATTAATGATATTCATAGAAATTTAGAGGAGGTAACATAAAAGAGAATCGTAAGTGTAACATAATCAATGGCAATAGTTTTGTATCAGCCATCCAGGATAGTATTGATATTGTTACGGGTTAGGTGGTAAGCTGTAGGTTTGTACATACGACTTTTTCGAGCTACTCAGTAAACACTCACTTCTACTTTCACGTTCGTCGTTAACTGTTAGCCAACGCGTATACAAAGACATTTGATGAACGTTACACATACTTTTATTGTTATCGTATGTAAATATTGTTAGTAAGGTCTTCACTGTTTGACCAGGGAGGGTCCCCTGCCTGAACGACGTTTCCCAACTTCTGTTTACCTTTATTTCACACGTTCCTGCTTTATTACATTGCTGTTTTATTTGCGTAAGGCCAGAACATTGTAACCGGGGCCCATACAGAATCAGAGTAAGCTTGGTTAAGTCCAGTTTGTCCATTTCCCGACTCGACAGAATGTCAACATTTGCAATCGCCGCCATTTGCATCACTATGTTTATTGACGTCAGTGACATAATGACCTGAGATCAGCATCTAATCAGCATTACGTAATTTGCCCACTACCACCATAGGGGCACGAGACTTTGGTGGACAGATGTATGAAAACAAGTGCACACCAGTCTTCAAAGAGACTCCGGCCCGCTACCAGAGCGTTCACTCCTGATACCAAGGAAATTTATACCAGAGCAAACCAAATACGCCGCAGTCGATGCAACCCGTAAAATACATGTACATTTGATACTGTATGCATCCCCGGCCGTTGGATAAATGGACCTAACCATGATTGACCTAGATGTTTTACTACGTTTACTACGATGTTGACAAACGAATAACGTGCCAAAAAGGGGGGGGGGGTCTTTGTATATTTTATAACTGAAGTTCTCTGATGGGTTTTGTGTGATTTATACTTGAGTATTGAATGTTTTGTATATAAAAAATTGTAAAGCTTAAATAAATCTTGTTATCTGTTGTACATGTAATAAGTAAGTCAATGTTTATCAATATAATACATACAATACAATATAATACGGCCGCGATACCTGAAATATAAAGTGTTCATCTCCATAGTCCTTTCGTTCATAATATATAAACAACAGTGCAGCTCAGAGTAGCGGA